ATGATGCCTCTGTTAGGGTAGGGACATTCTTAGAAAAGAGCTGAATAAACTGAAATTGAAATTAAAAACCAACTTCAACCAAGCTCATGTTACAGCGAGAAGGAAACTTGACGTAGCAAACACTACCCGTGCTGCAGAAATTACCATAGCTACAAACTACAAATTCTAAGGTCACTTTTGTTCATGTTTATAAGACTACCTTAATTGTATTCCATTCTATTGTACAGTACATCCCCCCCCCCCCTCTCTCCCCCAACTATCCTGTCACGGCGGAGAACATGAACTACGCCGCGCCGGTATTTGGAGCGGCTCTTGTTTTCTCTGTGGGAGACTGGTTTGTACGGGGTCGCAAACAGTGGCACGGTCCAACCGTCAAAGTGGCGACCGAGTAAGCTTACATCGGCCCGTGGTCGGTTTTTACTGACTGCTATTTGATGTAGAACGGTTAAGTCAGGTGTACTGAAATGCGTCTGTATGTATGTACATACATAAATGTTATTAGCGGGCAATCCTCCTTGCCAGAAAAACGCCCTCCAAGCTCTAGTTAGTGGCATTGCATTCCAGTAATGTCTCCAATTCAAGTTCTGAGGCAGAGAGTATACTACGGAAGTTGTACGATGATTTCTAGTCCGTTTTCCTGGATTTGGGTGTGTAGACCTTGTGGTCTTTTATATAAAATTTGGGTAAGAAGGAGTTTTGGCGAGAAGTTGAGTTGTTATATACAGGATACAACTTAAGAGGTCCAATGATGAGCAACGACTGTTCCGCCTTGAAGACCTTGCCTTCAGGGTCGATGCTTGAAGATGGCTCCAGCGACATCAGATACTGAAAAACCATGGTAGCCACCGCTTGTCACAGTATAATTCGTAGATGATGGTAGGGGGTTTTTTTGTTGTAGAAATGGATCCACAAGGTAGGGTTGGTAATCGCAGTCGCTGTTTCCAGTCAGTCGGTACAGTACAGCATTGGAGAGGATGTGTAAGTAACTACCTAGGTAATCATAGTGGACAAGAGCCAATGGTGTAAAGGGAGAGTGTTGGGAGGGTGAGGGCAAAAAGGGGTTCCAGGAGGTTCAGGTGAAGCAGCAAAAAGACGTCAAACCCCGACCTTAATCATTAACAAACAGTCAGTCTTTCCATGTACCACAAAAAGAATTTTTTTATTTTATTTTTGAAAATAAAAACATACAACAGCTGGGATTCGCTGGTGGTCACCCACCCAACTACTAACCAGCCGGCGTGTGGCTTAAGTACGGCTGAGCGGACGGGAAGCCCTGTTTTCCACACCCTATGGTCGTATGTAGCAGATATATGGAAGGAAAGGGATTATAGGTAACATGTACAGTACAGTGCTCAGAGAATGTGCACTGCATGTAGATATAGGCTGTACCCATGATCGTGGTGACTTGAAAGAGGAAAGAAGGATAGACGGGTTAATATTATGCTGTATAAAAAGAACAAAAAGGGCAGAAAAGGACCTGTATTGGGTATAAAGATGCCCTGTCACCCTATATATGCACTATGCTAAGAGACGGCCTTTGTGTCCGTGCCTGATCGTCATGGATTATACTGCATATTGATTCTTTAAGTCATACGATTTGATAATCCTGGCAATCGTAGGCATTCATATAGATCTCGTCTCCTGTCTCCTTATTGATTAGTGTTTTATTCACGAGATACTGTTGACCTATCTATCTACTGAGTCATATGAAGCACACGTTACATTTTTAGAGAATTTATTAAGCACATATATACGTACATGTATATCCATACGTACATCACATCGAACGCGGCTTCAATCGTAACCACAGCATCCTTTGGATCCCCTCGACACAATCCGAAAAGGCATGTCGTCATCCAATTCCACCACCTCGGCCGGATCCTTATCCCACGGCATGCTCACCTCAAAGACCCGCGAGGCGCGAACCTGCCGCAACGGCTGCAACAGCCGCTCGACCGGGTACGGCGCCGGCGCCACAGCCACGCCGCTGAGATACAGGTAGAGCTCCTCCAGCCCGGCCAGGCTGGCCAGCGCGCGGCAGCATTCGTTCCACGTGTCCGGATCGTGCGGCGGCAGGAGCCACTCGGGCTTGGAGTCCTCGTCCTCCGGCGCCGGGCGGATCTGTGAATACATCTGCCATGCGAAGTAGTGGAACAGATGCACGACGCGGATCCGATTCAGCCGGGGCCGTAGGACGGTCTGCCCGAGGCGGATGACGGTGTCAATGTGGTTGAAAGAGAAGATGTTTTCCGTGTAGAGCAGGTTAACCGTCTCGGAGTATCTATGTGATGGATGCCACAGTCAGCAAGAGCGACATGGCATAATACCAGAACTGGCATGATATCAGACAGGGAGGTCTACATACATTAACCGGCAGGTTTTTAGCAGCGGCAGCAGGTTGGCATAGCATACTGGCTCCGTGGGGTACATATAGAAACCGACCTCGCGGAAGTCATAACCGAGACTCGCGGCCGTCGACATGCCCCAGCATTCATGTGCGCCGGGACATTTGTTCTCGAGATCCTCTTCATGCTCGTTACATCGGATGCCCAGGAGCCTCTTCTCGCGGGCCTGCACGACATGCACGCGCAGCCCGCCCAGGACCTCTTTCCAGATCGCGAGGCGGATCTCGGGCGGGAGTCGGGACAGCAGTAGGCACTGGCGCTGGTCGCAAGTGGTCTGGGGCTGCAGCGGCCTGTCAATTTTCTTCCAGAAGAGGCCCCATTTCCGCTTCCTTTGGCCGTTGTCAGGGGGCTGGACCAGCGATGGCGATACGAGCGGGGCGGTTAGTGCTCGTGGCCGGGTCGCCGGCAGCGGCGTAGGAGCATACTCTTCGCGCTCGGCCGCGATCTTGGGCAAGGAGTAGTTTCCATTCCCACAGCGGGGCATCGTGGGGAGAGAGGAGAAGGAACGTGGAGAATGTCAGCGTGGTGGCAGTCGCGTTGCTACCTATATAAATAGAGCGATACGATGTTGGATCGGCGGCTGACGGATCAATCAGACAAAGGCGCGAACAAACGTTGGTTTAGTTAGTAGATTACTTACATGTATGTACTCCTAACCATCACTTCCGTCAATAATGTCAGGATTATCTGTCTTGCTAGAACCAGGTTTCTTGAAGGAAATTTGAACGGACTCGACTGGCCCCGTCACATGACTTGCGGCTGTACGCCTGATGTTGGTTGCCAACAAATGATAGTAATGGCCTGCATGCACAGGAAGACACAATTGTGGCTATGTAGATATGCTCTATCGTACTATATTTTCTTTCAGTTGTTTTTTTTTCTTTTTTTTTTCTCGACTTGTTGCGTCTACCCACTCTGCCAACCCATCGCTGCTGCCAATTTTGACAATCTGACAAATAAGGAAGGAACGAGGCCCAACACGAGCTTGCAACAACTTCCAGGCATTTGGAATTCCGTTCTTCCTCCTGCAATCCACCTGACACTGCTCTGTCCTCCTCTTGTCCCCTCTGTCGTTTTGAACTTCCAAGACGCCTTTTTCATCCATCGCAGACTGACATGCCTGGCACCGTAAGTATCACTTCCCAACCGTGGACGATAGGAGATCTTTATCTGACGTGGATTCAGTACTACGAAGTCCCGGCTATCCAAAGAGAAATTCAGGCACTCTGCTGAAAGAGAACCGATTTCACATCTGTTTCACAATGTTTTCGAAGTTCTGGGATTGCTGCTGCTGCTGCTCCGACGACGATACCCAGGGTCAGGGACAGCAAGATATACTCTCCACGAACTCCCACCAGAATGAGCACAAGCAACATCGACCAAGACGATTTGGAACATAGCGCCACAATCATACACAGCCACCTTGCCGATATACCGTACATACGCCTTTGTTGGTGGAGTCGCATGTCGCCTTCTTGGCTCCGGGAGGGCTACAAATGATCTTGACAAGAGGTGTGAGGAGCCATGAAGAAGGTGCCTTGATTTCTCTATCTGAGAGGCAGAGAGAAGGCTTATTTGCTGTAGGTCATATGGCAAGCCAGGCAGCCTATTAAGCCTTAGGCACGAGAACTGCCAACAAATCATATTGATATCATTGTTCCCAATGGGCATCGAAGACGCGTCCAGATCTTGGCTAGGAATACGACCATTTTTGGAATGGCCCGCTCGACTGGAAATCTGTGGATGCAAGTGGGCGGCAAGAATCACAATGTTGATATCATTGACCCAGCAGATTCGGATCACAAATTTTGTTGGGAGCGAGGCAGTTACCGTGAAGGGTGTCTAAGTGTTGGACCCGTCACTTGTCCTTCAATACAAAGAGCATTCGATCAGAAACCGAGACCAGACGAAGCTGTCCTCCTTAGAGAACGACAGGAAAGATATTGGGTTCTTAAGGAGACGTCTGGCAAGCGATGTCGATGAAATCAGTGAGGTCCCTGGCAGTAATTAAGATGTTGGAGCCTAAGGCTCTGAGACCTGCCTAACCAGGCTCGGCTCGCCTAGCTGCCTCCATAGTCATCTTAGATAGAAGAATCAAGCCGTTGCAAAGCTTTCATGATTAGAAAGCTTTTAAACGCCGGTTCCTGGATCATTATTAGTGATTTCTTTATGTACTTATCTTCATTTTAGTTCTTGTGTTGCTTTTTTTTCCCCTTACATTTTTTTTCTCACCCATTGGCTATATTGTCAGGATTGTTATCCCACATATCAGTATTACCATGGGTTCGTTTATGATTTATGAAGTTGTATATGGTTCGTAATGCATGTTATAAATAATACATGGTGGAATTCCATGGTCCTGCCCATCCATAGATTCATGGTCAAGCACATTATGTATATGACGCAACTGGCTTCGAATCAGGCAGTCATGTCATCCAAAATCATCGATCTATGTCTCAACTGCAGTGAAGACGTAGGAATGATCGTTGGAAATTCCCAGAGAAGGATATAAAAGAGACAAAGGTTTGACCATATTGCTACACAATCCTGGGCAGTCATCCAGCCATAAGTACTTCTCTTTATTCTGTTGATAGACAATGTGGGTCCTACGACCTAGCTATGAGATTTGTGAGGATGCCTTTCCACTGCGCCCTCGCTACAGGCATTGCTACATCCTCCTACGGGCCGGCATCCCTTGCCAGGTCTGGGGATATACAGTCTTAGCCCATTATGGATACGATACGTTTGGATGGGATGATCTTTACTTGTGGTCCCTTCTCCCACAGAAGCCTCCAAAGTACTCCAAGCACATGGCTATTTTGCAACCCAAGCCACAGAGAGGGAGAAGAGAAATCCCCAGTTTCGGCAGCTGCCACTGCGGCTGAGTCCATGGCCACTACGTCCAAAAAGAGAGAAAGAAAAGGATGAAGAAATAGAAAAAAAGAACTTCTTTAACCATCTCCGATGATTCCGATCATTCACTGGCTTCAAAGATTTACGATAAAATTGGCCGAGGCGTCCTCCTTCTATCTGCCAAAGAATATAACTGCCCCCTTCCAGCGACAACGGGGAAGATACACTCACTTTCCCCCTCGCTGGCAGACAACTTTAATTCCCTGGCCACGACCTTACTGGCCCTTACTCCCGAAGCTAACATCCAACGCCGCTACATCTCGTTGCTGCTCGGGGGCCACGTTTTCATCCCCGGGGTCTGGACTCGATGGTTCGAGAAGCAGATCCCCAGGGAGCATCGCCACGTTCTCCTTTTCATGCAGCTGCCATGGATGCTGAGGAGCCAGATGATGGGATATCGATAGGAGGTGAATTGGGAATGGCAACATGCCCTTTGCGTGATCCGAGATCGAATCCTGGAGGCTGGGGGAAATGATCCACATTCGGACTATGATTACCATGATGATCCCCAGTTGAGTCAATTGCGCCCTTTGAAGCAGACATTGCTGCATTATTTCGGATTCCGTCGGACGGTTGAAATCTTGTGTGAGAGAGCTTTACGTGGAAAGTGGCTTTGATAGATATGTCGGCGTCCACAGGCAAAGAAGACATCAAAGCGGGCAATGGTAGAATGTTTGTGACTACCTAGCTAGTGATGAGGTGCAGGCTTGAAACTCTCGTTTATACCTAAGAAGCTCTATTTTTATAATAAACCCTATGGTTATATACGCTAGACATGAGAAAGAAAAGGGATTATAAGTAATATAAAGAATACGTAAAGATACTAAACAGGGACCCATCAAAGCTAATCTGTTGAACGCTTCCTTTCCAATCCATTCAAATTGTCAGCCTTCATCACTCCTCATATACTCCTGCAAAAATAGTGTCTTCGCACCCCCGAATTGCACTCCACTGGTCCATGCCATCATCATCAGAATTATCCTCGTAATGATAGAGATATTCATTCCTAGGGCTGGTGAATCTAGTGTTCCTTCCGCTTCCATACCCTGCTCATGTCCCCGACAGGAAGACTGAGCGGGATACCGACGGCCTCGAACAGCTGCGCAATGAGAAGGTACCAGACCAGCATGCTGGCCACGAAGAGAGAGGCGCCTCCGGCCTGGGCAGTTGTCAGTTAGCCAAGATCATCATACAAAGCCACTCTGTCGAGCTACTCACCACGAGCAGTCGGTTACCGCCCACGGCATCGCCCAGTCCCAGTCGCCAGTAGGCCGCGCTGAGCAGGGTGAAGACCATAACCAGCGTGAGGAAAATGGCAACGAACACGGCATTGATCCGAGTCGCGCAGATCATGTAGATGAAGCACAGGATGTCCATGGCCAGGAACAGGAATGCTATTATATCAGTCAGCGGGGATATCTGCAATGGGAGGGGAAGCTTCAATGATTCCGTCGGGTCCTACTCACCGTATGTGTTCATAAATTCAGGACTGGTTAATCCTTCCATCGTGCTGGTTCCGGAGGACGAGTAGGGGGCTGAAAACAAGATCAGGTTCGTTAGATTGTACTTCTGGTTGAGATTGTATCTGACGAGGGAGATGTTTACCTGCCGCGTTCACAGCCGGCTGTAAGGTGCATCCAAACGCGAGCCAGAATCCGCCTGATCCTGTCAGCATCTGTATAATGGCGTTTGACTTGATTGAAGATCCACTATGCACTACTCACCAAACGTCCCAAACACCACACACGGAAAAGTATTGCCCAAGACGAACTCGAGAAGACCGCTAATGACCAGCATCGTTCCGGCGAGGAAGACCATGGCGCCGCTGAATAGCATTAGTTGGGAACTGGATGAAATGATATGTGTGATATGGCATTTGGGCAGCCTACATAAACGCCATCCCAGTCCCACCAGCGCCCCTCCATCCCATCAAGGCGGCCGAGACGGGCATGACCGTCACGACCAAACTCGCCAGTGCCCTTTCCCTCAGTCAGCATTTTGTCTATACATTGTCCTGCGGATCCTGAATAGGGGCTGGTTGCTTACAGTGGCGTGGGATTGCCGAACTTCCTGGTCATCGCACCCTGTCGTCCCTTCAGCGGATTGAGATAGAGCTTCTCAAACTGCTCCGCAGTCAGCGTGACGGACGTCGGGATCGTAGTCAAGCCAGCCATGGCGGTTTCCTGCGATGGCGTCTGCCCGTTCTGGGTCGGGGTGTCTTCGCCGGATTCCACGGCGTCCTTGGTCATTGTGGCGGCAATAGTTCAAGGCGCAAATAAACAACAAGGCAAGAACTGGAGCTGCGAGCTGCTTCACGCAATCAAGTAACCCAGTCTTCTATTATACATACAGTCCCGGGCCATACTCCTCAGAGGTTATATGTGCATCTGCATCTCCTGAATACCAGCGAAAGGAGTCCCCGAGTACGGTCCGCCTCGCGTTGCTCGAATCCGGGGCTCCGCTTCCTCAGATCGCTTGGGGATAGCTTATTTTTGGGACGACGATCATCCTCCAGCGAACCCGTTCGAATGGGCGAAGTATGAGGTAAATGGGGGGATGTTTCTGGGGAATGTTTCCACCTCCGCACCGTCTGCTGACTAGGCTTTCGGTCGCTGCCAAGTGATTCCACAAGTTAATGCAGATCACGGAGAAAGGCACTTGAGCAGATTCCCGACATCGAGCATCGGGGATGCATCGCTGGTCGGATCTGCCCGAGTTGCGGACCGGAGTGCTGAGGAGACGGGTTAGGGCTTGGGCAGGACCCGGAAGCGGACCGGGGCCTGACATCGCCATGGCAGCTGCATATGCAGCAGTCGTCGGTGCTTTCCTAGATGAGGCAGTGTATACAGTTGGTATGATACGAGTTCACGTCTGGGGCAGCGGCAAGTTGAGTGTGTTGCCTCCCTCGCCACTTGGTATCCTTTGCGGTACAAAATCAGCTCAGCAACCGACAAGCTCCTGACGGTCGTCCACGACCTTCAGCATCGGGGGATGATGTAATCGCTGGCGACGACGGACGTGGTGATCATCCTTTGGGGATTCATGGCCTCGGCCTCCTCCACAGCAGACACAGACTGGGAAGCAGAGGATGAAGATGATGATCGCCGCTGGCAACAGAAACGGAGGAGGATGGGTTCCGTGCTGCGGAATGTGATTCTTCCAGGATTCTGGCAGGATTGTCAGGTCGTAGACGATCCTACTTGAGCCTGCTCGGTTGAAGGAGAATACTTGTCATTTGTAAGAACAGATTTTAATAGAGTCCTTTTCTGTGAATCATGTTACGATTGAAAGGAATCGTTGATTCACATGATACGAACAGACAGAAGAGGCGTTACTGGATCAGTTAATGCGGTTTGAGATGATTACAGGAAATAACGCAATAGAGAGAGAAACATCCTCAGAGTGAAATACATCCAATACAAACAATTGGGGAATACGGTAACTCTAGACCCGACATGCACATACGTAGACAAGCACAGTCTCTTCCTTTCCTTTCCATCAGCGAATCCTTTATCAATTCTGTTTCTGAACTCGGTACCCTTACAAGTCTCGGGGGGCCCATGGATACACACGGTCCGAAAAGCTCAGGCCACAGGCCAGGTATGCCATTTAAATAAAGGAACAAGCATTAAGCATTATTAGGGTTAGTGTCGTGAGGCAATGCAGGACAAGCTTTCACGCCAAGTGGACAGACAGTTCACTGTGCCTCGTCAGTGCGGGGAAACCCCGGATTCGCTCCGTCTGGGGTATCTAGATGAGTCGGGTGTTTGAACCTGTGGGGTTTATTTTATTTGTTTTGGGTTGAAGTTCCAACAAGCCTGCATAAAGCATTCCTTGTAGGGATGTCATTGTGGGTCTTGTATGGGTTTTCTATGATATACTGTATGCTTTAAAGGGCTTAGGGGTGCATGCTCTAGGGGTCTTTCATAGTAGAAAGAATTTTACTTACTATTCTACACAAGTAGCGATATCTACAGCCAATAACATGAAGCATTTCCTCAAGTTATTTTGTCTCGTCTCTTCCAAAGCTTCGTCCCAGGAACTACCTAGGCTGGCCATGTTTGCAGGAATACGAAGAAATATTCTACAGTATACTCCTACTTACCCTGTAAGGAATGCGGAGAGCGGATTGGAGCGGAGCTAGCGGAGCCGGTCCGCCAAGCCGGGGCGGGGTTAGGGTTCGAGTCGATATCGCCGGTCGACGGTCTCTCCTTGTGGATCGATAGAAGGGAAATCTGTCCGGAATTGATTTAATTTTTGCCGATGACTTGAACCGACACTCAGAAACGATTCCTACCCACTCCGGTCCATGGCCCGATGGAGCATAGAGTGCACTTATCATGTTCCCGAGGGCGGCGGAATCGGTCCGGATGAAGTTAGGGAGACTATGGAGAATGGACCCCGCCGAACAGTGTACTGGGATGGAAGAGGGGAGGGGACGACGAGGCTATATTGCTGTTGTGCTCTGTTTCAACAGATCCATTTCGAACGGAATCAAATCGTCTTTCGTTCTTCTGCTGTGCGACGTCTCCAGACTTTCTTCTTTTCCTTGCAGATTGCGTGCACACCATGGCTCATCAGACTCAGCGGACAGAGGCCATTGTCTCGCGTCCTCCAGTTGACGGGAAGAGACAATGGAATCTCGAGAGCGTCGAGGTTCCGCCGCTCAATGACAATGAGGTTCTCGTCGAGGTTGTTGCGTCTGGCATTTGCCATACCGACCTGGGTTGTGGCTCTGCGCCAGACGGCACCCCGGGCTTCCCTCTGCCGCCTTACCCGCGAGTGCTGGGACATGAGGGTAAGCCATTGACTGAAAAGTCCTTTCTCTCTGTAGGTCACTAACTCCTCCAGGAGCCGGCCACGTCAAGGCCGTCGGATCCAAAGTCTCGCACGTCAAGCCCGGGGACGCGGTGCTCCTCTCCTTCGCCTTCTGCAGCGAATGCCACAACTGCAAATTCGGCGCCCCGGGCTACTGCGCAAAGTTCAACCAGCTCAACTTCACCGGCGACGGGCAGGCCTTCAAGGGGACGACGGACCCGAACGAGAACATTGGAGGGTCGTTCTTCGGCCAGTCGAGTTTCTCGCGTCTGACGCGGGTGCAAGAGACGTCTGTAGTGAATGTGTCGGCTCTGGTGAGCGGTGAGGATGACTTGAAGCTGTTTGCGCCGTTGGGGTGTGGGATTCAGGTATGACCTCCAATCCAGCCAGAAGGAGAATGAGAGAATATCCTGACACCAATGTCCACAGACTGGTGCGGGAACCATCACAGAACTCGGATCCGCCGGCCCGGACGATAAAGTGGCCATCATCGGACTGGGAGGAGTCGGACTGGCCGCAATTATGGTATGTACCTGTCAAGAATTAGTAGAAAGAGAGGCAGGCTGACAACAGATAGGCCGCCAAGCTGAAAGGATGCAACACTATCATCGGCATCGACCGCGTCCCCGCCCGCCTCGAGCTGGCCAAGAGCCTGGGAGCGACGCACGGCATCAACACGGCCACTCTGACGGGGACATTGGAGCAGGCGGTGCGAGAAGTCACCGACGGCTCGGGCAGCACGATTACGGTCGACGCCACGGGCGTGGTGCCGCTGATCAAGCAGGGAGTCGAGTTCACGGCCAACCAGGGCAAGATGATCCTGCTGGGCGTGGCGCCGATGGATTCGAAGTTGGAGATTCCCATCGTGCCGCACATGGTGGTGAGTACAAGCGTCCTACATTTACATCTTTGTGATCTCTGCTAAGTAGGGAACTATTTACAGTCAGGAAAGCATATCCTCGGTAGCATGGAAGGAGGCGTGCGGCCGGAGAAGGTGCGTATAGTATAGTATACTTAAGAGACAGTCAGACAAGACAGACAAGAAAAGAACAGACTAACTGACAAACGGCAGTACATCCCGCAGATGATCCAATGGCACCGCAGTGGCAAATTCCCCATCGACCGGTTGATCAAATTCTATCCTGTAAGAAAGACGTCCTGAGAAGAAAAAAAAATTATCCTTCAGTCAGGAGTTTCTAACAAGACTTGTTATGTGTTTATTTAGGTGGCTGATTTCCAGCAAGCGATCAAGGATATGGAGAATGGAACGACGATTAAGCCTGTGTTGGTCTGGTAGATTGTCTGTCTGGAGAGAGCTGGCATGATGGGTTTATTTTCATACGCTTTCAGAGAAGAAGTGATGACGATGATGAGGATACTGCTGGCCATCAGTACATGTACATAGTTGCATATTTCATATACATGCGTACATACATAAATAGCAATAACAATTCTATTTGCCCTCAAGACAATACACTTCCGAAGTTTACTCCGGGTATTTCTCTATTTATCTCGATGGAATTACCATGCACTGGTTCTCCTACGCAATGATGTAACACTGCATAACCATAACCTAAAGTCTATTTATTTATTTATTTACTCAGCACACGCAGTGGAAGGAAGCAAACAAACCAAAAGCACATCCATGCATAGTAGAGTATAAATCATAACAACCAACCAGCAAATAAATTTAAACATAACACCTTAAGAAAAACAGAAACAAAAGAAACAAGACAATAAACAAATCCTTCGTGCAAAGGAGAGTGAGAGGAGAGCAGAGCAGAGGAGATTTCCTTTTCTGGTAACAATCCTTGGTTCCGTGTGGGGAATGGTAGATTTCCCGATCCGGGTTCGGTCCGAAAAAGGCATTTGATTAGTTAGGGTTAGTTAGTTAGGGTTAGACGATAGATCAGACTATTTGATATCGTCATTATTTTTGACGCAGGTAGGTATAGAGTACGCAAATCTATGTTTCTTCAATTCTGTTTCTCTCTCTTGGTTTTTTTTTAAAAAATACATTGTGATAGATTGTGGAGAGGGGCAGGAATCACCTATGTTGTATTGTGTGCAGCGAGGGGATAATGTTTCCATTCACTGGTGTCGCGGTACAATTGCGTTACCTTGATGGATCCCGAGTAAGGACCGTCCATACTGCCACATGGGTTGTCCATCCGTATCATGTGTAAGGACGGACCTTATCTTGTATCGTAGCCAGAGGATCCTTTATGGTTCTTCCATCAAGCTTAGTACTGAATGCAATGGTTATTCCATTAAGCTGCCACAACTGGTGACAATTAATTTGTCTAGTCCAGACGCTGATTAACACAATACAAACGTTGAAGTGGAAATAAAAATAAATAAGGAGAAATACAGACAAAAAAAGTTTATATATATTAAAATAGGACAAAAAGAAAAGAAAAGAATGAAAGCGAAGTGATGGTCAACTAACAACTACTCCCTCATATCGAGATTAAAGTGATACGTGCAGAGAATAAAATGACAAGCTAAGCACGTTTAAACTGCTAGCTAATATGGAATTTGCTTTAAGAGAGAGGATAAATATTCATACGATGTGGGTATGGATTGCATATGCTATGTACTGGCTGCTGCGTTACAAACAGTGTCATGTCATGTCACAAGGACGCTCGTTATCGACAGACAGGACGGATATCAAATCAAATAAAATCAAATCATCTAAGCCAAGCCAACAAGCAAGTCGAACAAGTCGAGACATCATCAACAAACTGCAGTCAAATCAATCAAATCAACCAAAACAGTCAACCAACTAACTTAAGCAGCAGTGACAACCTTCTTATTTAAAAACAACGTCTGCACATTACAAAACGCCTTGAGCCCATTCGCCCCCCACTCACTACCAATCCCGCTCTCCTTGTGCCCCCCAAACGGCGCCATCGGCGACAGGTCAAAGTGCGTGTTGATCCAGATGTTGCCCGCCTGCAGCTGGCGGGCAACGCGGGAGGCTCTGCTGAGGTCGTTGGTCCAGACGGAGGCGCCGAGGCCCATGTTGGTGTTGTTGGCGCGCTCGATGACTTCTTCTTCTGTGGTGAAGGTGAGGAGGGGGACGATGGGGCCTGAAAATCGTTAGGATATCACGTACATGTACATGTATGACATACACAGAGAGGGGGCTGGTACCAAACGGCTCCTCCACCACAATCCGCGAATCCTCCGGCGGCCGGTCGATCACCGTCGGTGTGATGAAGTACCCCGGCGACGGCTCAATCTTTCCTCCACACGCGACCTTCCACCCCTGCTTCTCGATATCGTCAAAGAAGGTCTTGACGCGCTCGAACTGCATGCTGTTCTGCACCGGCCCGTGGCTGATGCCCGGCTGCGAGCCGTCGCCCAGCGTGTACGACTGGACGTGCTTGACCAGAGCCGCCTTGAACGGCTCGTAGATGCTCTCGTGGACGTAGAGCCGTTTGAGGTTGAGGCAGATCTGTGCCGTTAGTCTTGCTGTTAGAAGAGGGGTTGTAGGGATGCAAACCTGGCCCGAGTTGAGGAATGCGTAAAAGGCTACTTTCTGCGCAACAGCGTCGACGTCGACGTCGGGGAAGACGATGGCTGGGTCGTTGCCACCGCTGAGATGCGTTAGTAGTGTCTTTTTTTTCCAGCCGTTTCGCTTCACAGATGGTAGTGTGCTTACAGCTCTAGGGTCACTCGCTTAAGTGTTTTGCTAGCGCTCTCCATCACCCGCTTTCCGGTCGTCGTCGAGCCCGTGAAGCTGATCTTGTCGACACCAGGGTGGCTGGTCAGCCACGGGCCGAGGTTGTCGTCACCACTGAGAGACTGGACGACACCCGGGGGGAAGAACCGCTGCGCCAGCTCGACGAGCTTCAGACCGCAATAGGGGGTGAATGGGCTGGAGAGCATGTCAGTCATCGATCGGAATCACAAGCACGAACGACGACACTTACGAAGGCTTCACGATAATGACGTTTCCTGTCAGCAGAGCGGGCGCAATCTTGCCCGTCGCCAGCAGCAAGGGGAAGTTCCACGGGATAATGGCGGCGACAACGCCGATGGGCGTGTGGCGAGTGATGACGGTGCGGTGCTCGTTCTCCTCGATCAGGTCCTCGGGCAGTTTGATGTCGGCCATGCCGCGGATCCAGGAGATGGCGCAGTCGGTCTCGGAGTCGGCTTGGGGGATCTATCGCAGTCAACTTCGTCAGATCTGTATATACGGTATGCTATGGTATGCAACTTACAGGCTTGCCCTGCTCCGAAATGAGCAGATCGCGGAACTCCGTCCGCAACTGGTCGATGGCATCGGCATAGGCGAGCACGGCCTTGCGCCGCTCCTCGTACGGCACCTTGGACCACGTCTTGAAGGCCTCCTTGGCAGCTGCCACGGCCGCATCGACGTCTGCCTCCGTGGCCACAGGCACCTCGGGCTTGGGCTTCAGGTTGGCCGGGTTCAGGCCGTGCCGGGTCTGGGCCGTCGGCGCGACCTTGCCGTTGATGATCTGGACATAGTTGTTGTTGAGGTCGAGGGGGGAGCAATTGGCGCAACCGTTGACGGCGGGTTTGATGGCCATGGTCGTCGTATGTATGAAGATCTTTCGTCTTTGGTATACCTCTGATGTATGTTCAAATCAGGAAAGAAGCAATCACTGGACTCAGGAATGAACAGCACCGTTCCCCGTGGGGATCCGGGGTGCATCCCCATCTTATAGCACTGCCCCAGCCTGCAGCACCCCAGATGTTGCATGTCTGCGATGCGGGGAAATAGGGAGGCCGGAGCGGGAGGGCGAATGCGTTCCCCGCTGCACTCCGGTCCGTCTTCCGCGGTCCGCTGCGACGGACGCTCTCACGGCCGGGGGCCACTGGACTCGTCCTGAACTTAGATTTGCGCCTGGCGGGGATGGCCCCTGGTCAGACGACACTCACATGCCGACCTGGGAAACCGCCCAGGAAGGGGGATCTGCTCGTCCGCTGGATCGACCGGGGATATATGTGTCTGGCCCGGCCAGGGGCACGCCCTCATCCGGCTTGTTTTCGTGCTTGTCGGGGAAAATGCTGTTGTGAACCTTGTCAGATCAGTCCGGACAAGGGGGAGGAACTCTATCTTCTGCTGTGGACAATGAGAAGCGCTCCTGGAGAGCTACGCCGGCGTACGAGGATAAGAACTGGCTGATCGCGGTGTTTCAGGCAGATCCCGTAAGACGGTCCGCTCGGGGACATTACGTAGGTAGCGGGGAACTCCTCTCGATAGCTTGCAGAAAAATAATATCATAGACGATGCTAATTCCATACCAAAAACGGGTCCTCAAGACGTAGATAGAAACTACACACCCAAGAATTAGGTACATACGTACATGGATATCCCACATTCGCCAGATGCAGCCGCCGCGACGCTTGCGAAGAGAAATAGACTCCAAGATACTCCACTCCGGTGCGCATGTTTGCCCCGCATGGTCACCAACAGGCCCATGGCCGGGAATCGATTAGATCCGAAGAGCTCCAGATCTTAGCGTGAGAGGCGTCTTGTCCTCAACGATACACACAATGTACTCCGTACACTGTGAACTTGGACTAACATCGGTCCGGAACCACGGTCCGAACCTGTTTCTGAATAAAAAGTAAAACCATGAAATCGTGAAACCGTTAACCAAGATTCAGTCCTATAGCGTCTTCCCGCTCGATGCCATGTCCATCAGATAGTCGACCTCATGCAGGCCGACACCTCCGACTCCGGACATCATCGTCGGAAAGATGTCGTTTTCTGGCACCATCAGATTCGTCGGCGTTTGCGTTTCTCCGGCCAGTCCAAAATTCAGGCCCAGGGACGAGAACGGCGGGTCCGGAACGGCCGAACCGGCCATGGCCAGCTTGGTGGCCTTGACGTTAGAGCACATGGTGCCGTAGTCTACCATCGACCAGAGGATCTCCTCCGTGGTGGGGTCCAGATCGTGCATGACATAATAAGGGTCCATCAGACGGGCGAATTTGTGGCACTGCGAGTGGAATTCTCGCAGCCGGAGATTCTGCGAATAGCCAGGTGAGAATGGAGCTACATAAATATACAAAGCGGCAGGTGTCATACCATATTGGACGCGTGATCCCAATTACCGGACATCCTCTCCAGGATGTTGAGGCTCTGTTGGAAGTGTTTCAAGATTCCGGCGGAGCCCTGTCCACCTCTAGCCCGTTCCGCGTGAAAGTTCAATGAGTGAACGCCCCCCGCGATGGTAGTAGCGTAGGCATAAAAGGACGCCTTGACGTGGCAGCCCGACTGCATCGCCTCCTCGAGCAGATTCGACAGTTTCGTAGCGTGCTCGCAGCTGATCTGGAAGGCACGCGACGAGAAACTCGTCGGCATCTTTGAGCCGAGTCGCTTCAGACGCATCCGCAGCAGGAAGGGGTGGTTCAGCATGCAATGACAGAGATGGAAGACCACATAGGCAAAGATCAGATGGCCTAGGGACTGGTGATCGATACTGCCGTCCGGCGTTAGATTCTCGCTGATCATCTCGCCGATGGACCGGCGGCCGATCTGCGAATATGACTCGACGAGCAGGAGGGACGAATTAATGGTCGCAAACTCGGATCGCGAGTCCCACGGCGGGATCTCGTCGACGTTGCGTTCGTGGAGGACGTACCGCGCGCAGCGGCCCAAGATGGACGCTGCCAGGATGGTAAGCGTAAAATTACCGGGGATGGCGCAGATTTCAGTATTCCAGTTGAGCAGCTGGCTGAGAGTGGGCGTCCTTACCCGGCCTCCCTCTCGGAAGGTCTGCTCATCGCATGGCAATTGGACATGGCAATCTTCGTCTGAAATCGCTGGCGGACGAGCTCTGCCACATGAAACTAGCTTGTCTAGTAGGTAGACCGACCAGAACACTCGTCGTCGCTCCTCCTGCTCCACGTAGGAAAGCCACTCGTCGGGCTGCTTCATCAGATGTAGGTCCTGGGAAATGCGGACGGAGAGGCCAATCTTCAGCCATCCGGAACTAATCCGACCAGCTGGAATCGAAATTAGAATTGCCAATGTCGAAAACAAAAGAAGTGGCAAAGGCATACCGGTAAAGTCCACAATGGCCAGTAAATTCGTCGTCTGCGCAACATGTAGATTCGGAATGTCTTCCACTGTCAGGTGGTCCTGAAGAACGGATAACCAAGCCTCCCTGGCATAACCCTCTGAAGCCTCGTGCACTCGTCCCTGGTAGTATTCGTGGTCGGAATATCGAAGAGCGTAGGCGAGGACGGCTAGGATCAGGCACTTGGGTAACAAGCCGTGCTCGAGCTTGTATCGAAAGGAGGCTTCTTGGAAGTAGGAATAGGGCTGGTTATGGGCATAGACAAAGTAGGTGTCGATGAGAGATTGTAGGACGGGTTGCGGGGGAAGGGTTTTGTATGATCTGCATCGAGTTAGAAGACGAAGCGCACGACAAAAGCAATGGCCATGGAGGCGGTATTGTCACCAAATAGCCATACAGGGTGTTGGTGTCTTCGACAGCAGAATCCTCCAAATTGGGAACGGTCGCCCGTCGGGGCCGTTTCGTTCCAGCGACGGAGAAATTTTGCGATGGCGCCGTCTCTTCCGGACTGGAAGATGACTCGATCGCGACGCTCCTACCCATGCAAAGCCTTGTGAGCACGAGCCGCGGGCACGAAGACGGAGGGGAACGGACCTTGTGTCGTTGGCCTGGCCGCTCAGTTGGGCGAGCTTCGACTCGATTGTGCGTAATCGTTGCAGCAGCTCCGACTGGCAGAGATCAGTATCAGCATGAGGCACATCCGTAGCAGCGGTCGACAGCACGCACGTTGGTGAGATTGGACGCATAGGACACGGAGTGGTGGTCCGCGACGGTGGCCGAGTAGGGCTCATAGTTGCAGGGGCGATTGTTTCGCTGGCAGTGAGTGCATCGCGGCCGGTCGCCGGAGCACTTGGTCTTCTTCAGGCTGGGAGGAGTCAGCGCAGCGCAAGAGAGCACGACGGCAGGAGCCTACCGGCAGTTGGTGCACGCCTGGCGGATACGCCTGATGCGTTCCGCCGGAGCGGACTGCTCGCGAGAAGCCATCGTCGTGGCAAGAGAGCAGGGCGAGATCACGGCGACATGGACATCAATCAGATCGGGCAGGCAGTCGAGAGTCGGAGTCGGGATGGACGAGTTGGCCGATCACGTTGCCTGGATCACGTTGGATCACGTTGGCTCCCGTGACGCGGGGTATGGCTGACGTAAGCAGGCTCCCCACGGGGACGCGAAAAAGGCCCGGAGCGGCCCACCGGGCTGGCGCCTTCCCAAGATTGCGGCAGCGAATCCCGTGCGACGGGGAAAGCGCGTATGCATTGCCCCGAACAGGCCTAGCGCGATGCCCGGTTCATCTCGCTGCTTACCGCCAGTCCAGTCTCACGCATTCTCCTCTGTACACCACACTCTGTACTCTGTACAGCCAGCTGTTTTGGTCATTTGTCTTATGCATTCTCTCTATGCTAAACACGCTCACTATGCTACATGTACAATCTTCAAATTCCAGGATCAAAGAGCAATCCTCCGCGATGCGTTGTGGGATCCCCGGGATGTCTCGATTGGGAAGTTGGTAAGCAACTCCACTAACCAGATTCGGCATGCTAAGCGAGCACGCCAGGTCCGTCTATTCTCGAGTCTCTCGACTGAAGTCTATCAGATAGATTGAGAGATTCGTTTCGTGCATCTGATTTGATGTCGACGACTCGACTACAGCTTCGCTTTCTGCGTCTCCCTGATATACGCATCCCAGTCCACTGGCCGCCGCTGCTGGAACTGCTGCACCCCGTACGCGCCCTCCGAACCGGGCCGCATCATCTCTTCGAACAGCGCCTGGATACCGCGGGCCTGCGTTTCCCCACCGGCATGGGCCCAGCTCAAGCGGACCAGCTCCTTGGCCATGCGCGACCCTGCCGGCGACGAACTCCGCAGCCGGGTCAGCAGCCCGTCCAGCTGGCTCAGCAGCCCGTCCACGTTGTCTGCCACCTCCGCAATCGCGCCGAGCGCCTTCAGCTCGTTCGCGCCCACAGGCCGGGCGGAGAGCATGGCTTCCCGAGTGAATGCAGTGCCCCATTCCCGGGCCACGTACTTGGAGATGGTGGCGGGACACAGCCCCAGCTTGACCTCGCTCAACGTGAACGCGGCCGTCTTGACGCTGATGCGGATGTCGCATGCAAATGCCAGGCCAATGCCGCCACCGAACGTGGGACCGCTGATGGCAGCAATAGTTACCTTTGGTGAGTTGTCAATCAGTTCCAGCAGCGTGGTTAACCGTTCAAACATGGCGCTGCTCGAAGAACCCCCTTGACCCACGGACGTACTGTTTTTTGCGAGATCCATCCCTGTGCAGAAGAATTTTCCGTTCGCGGTGATGGCGATCCGCGAGATGGACGGGTCTGCGCTGGCCGTTTTGAACGCCTCTATCAGTTGGGAGATCATCGGCATGGTCAGCGCGTTTCCATTTTTAGGTCGATTCAGCACCATCTTCAGGTTCACCCCAGAGCGGTAAATCAGCAGGTTTTCCGTCTCTCTCTCCAGAGTCCACTCGAGTTTGGGCGGTTTTGCCGACTCGGAGTTTCCCCGAGATGGTCGACAGTGTTTGGTGGCCAGGGCGGTTCCAGCTCGACTGTCGTTCGCCTTGCCAAGCTGCTGAGAGATCCAATGGCCCGTCTCGACCAGCTTCAACAGGTCGACTCCGGTGTCAATGCCCGCGTTTTGGAACATGTACACGAGATCCTCGCTGGCGACATTGCCTTTGGCTCCGGGCGCGAACGGACAGCCGCCCAGTCCAGCGACACTGCTGTCGAACGTGCGAATTCCGCAGTTGTATGCCTCCCAGGCATTCGCTAGCGCCTGGCCGTAGGTGTCGTGAAAGTGGCCCGCCAGTTGGTTGAGCGGGACGCCGTTGCGGACCAAGTATTCGATGAGGGCGCGGACCTGGTATGGGGTCCCAACTCCGAGAGTGTCTCCGAGACTGACTTCATAGCAGCCCATGTCCAGTAATTCTTTCACACAGCGGTATACGGCGGAGGGAGGCGTTGGCCCGTCGTAGGGATCGGCAAAGATGCATGACACATAACTGCCGATGTCAGTCGGCCGGTGAAACAGCAAGGCTCCATGCTTACCCTCTGACCACAACTCCCGCACTCCTGGCCTTGGTCGCGACCGCTCGTGCGCGGTCAATACCCTGCTGGACGGTGCAGTTGATGTTGGCCTTGCTGAAGCCTTCCGTCGCACTGATGAAGACGGCCGCTTCCTTCACGCCGTACTTCAGGGCGATGTCGAGACCCTTGGTGTTGGGTATCAGCACCGGCAGACGGAGATGGGTCTTTTCGGTCAGGAGCTTCTGGACGGGCGTGCTCGACAGCACCGTCTGGCAGTCGGCCAGCTGGGGGATTGCTTTCGGCGAGACCACGGACGTCAGTTCGATGATACGCAGGCCGGTCTGCTCGAGGCGGTTGATCAGCTCGAGCTTGACGGGCGTGGGCACATTGTTGCGGATGTTCTGCAGGCCGTCTCGAGGGCCGACCTCGACGATACGGACTGACATGGATGTCGTAGACGAGTGACGTAGATGACAGGCAAGCACTGGCTTAATTAAAGCCCGCCATGCGGATGTAGTTCCTGGCAGTATACTCAGGACGCACCTATTATATTACCTAGCGATCAGTCTGCAACGGCAGTCAAGGAGCGAACAGCCAACTAATCAGTCGGCGCAAGTATGACTTCCGAGCAGCTTTTGCTGTCCCTGTCTACATACATACTCTGTTGCCATCAACCAGATAGCAGATCGCAGGCCGAAGCCGAGCCGAGGGAGCGGCAGCTTCCGGAACGCGGTTCGGTCCGGGCTGCCACGTGCCCGCCGAACCCTAAGAACTGGTTGCGGACCGAGAGATTTCCTAAAATGGACGTTCACTGCCGATGTAGCTAGGTAATGTACATGCTTGTATGTCCTTGCTAGCAGCATTCATTGTACTGTATGTACATGCTAAAGTCACATCTGACAAGGCAGGTGAAATCCCAGCAAACGGCAAGATAATGACAACAGTAAGAAATCTAGCATAGCCGCTACCTGGGAGTAGATCGACAGTATAATGGACTGCGTACATACTCCGTCCGTATGGAGTGGAAATGTATACAGCCGAAGTAGATGAATTCTTCTTTAGCTGTCTGTAAGAATGTAATTATACAATCCATCCATTCATCTGGTATATCTAATATCATCTCGAACGAAAACAAAAAGAAGAACAAAAAAAATTCCTAAAAGAAAAACGCTGAAACTACAGCCTCGCCTTCGGCGTCTGCTGCATCTTCTTAACCAACGCATTCCCAATCCCCCGAATCAGATGCTTCTTGTACTTCCCACTGCCCGTCTTGGGCAGATCGTCGCCCACCTCCGGATCCCCGATCCAGAAGACGTACTGCGGCGCCTTGATCTTGCCCAGGGTCTGCGTCACCCACGCGCGCACCTCGTCGTCCGACAGTCGCTTTTTCTGCGATGCGTTGTTGTTGTTGTTGCTCGCCATGCGCAGGAAGCATCCGACCACCTCGCCGTAGCGTTCGTTTTCGAGACCCACGACGCAGGCTTCGCCGATGGCTGGGTGGGCGAGGAGCCGCTCTTCGATCTCGGTAGGGGGGATGTTTTCGCCGCCTGAAGCCGTTACATTAGTTGAAAAAAATTCCTTGTTTGAAGGACAAGGTGCATGCATACCCCGAATAATGAGATCCTTGATCCGCCCCGTGATATGGCCATAGCCCTCCTCGTCAATATACCCCTCGTCCCCCGTGTGCATCCACAGCGTGCCGTTCTCATCTCGCCGCATCGCCTCGCGCGTCCTTTCCTCGTCCTTCCAGTACCCTTTCTGCAGCGCGAACCCGCTCGTGCAGATCTCTCCGCGCTGACCGCGGGGAACGATGTTGCCCTGCTTGTCGATGATCTTCGCCCCAGTGTGCGGCAGCACCCGGCCCAGCGTCGTCGTCATCTTCTCCAGCGTATCGTCCAGCGACGTGATGAACGTCACGGGGCTGGTCTCCGTCATGCCGTACGCGATCAGCATGCCCCGGACGTTCATCTTCTCGCGCAGCTGGTGCATGAGCGGTGCGGGCACCGGCGAGCCCGCCGCCAGGCCGGTGCGCAGGGTGTTGATCACGTATTTCCCCGGGTTCGTGTCCATGACCTCGAGCTCGGCCAGGAACATGGTCGGCACGCCCAGTAGCGCTGTGCCTTTCTCCTGCACGACGGCGTCCAGGGTCTGCGTCGCGTTGAAGTGGTCCGACGGGAAGACGATGGTGCTGCCGTGCGTGAACGACGCCAGGAACCCCATCACCAGGCCGAAGCAGTGGAACAGCGGCGGCGGGCAGATGATAACGTCGGCGGGAGTCAGCCGCATGGCTTGGCCGACGAAGCGGCCGTCGTTGATCAGGTTGCTTTCAGTCGGTCAGCTATCTGTGCTGTTGTACTTAGTAGAGATAGGCACTTACATATGCGTCAGCATTGCCGCTTTGGGCAATCCAGTCGATCCTATAGAAACAGAACCTGGTCAGAAGCGCCCCATTTCCTCTGTAGAGGAGGATATCTACCAGACGTAAACTGCAAATTCAACACATCCTCCGGCTTGACAGCCTTCTCCGCGCGGCGGAAAAACGAGTCGTTCAGGAACACCGAATGCGCGCTGGACACGAAGGTGCTGTACGACTGCGTTTCGACCTTGCCCTTGACCAGGTTTTTTACATGGGCGTCGCTGTCGGCTAGACTGACGATGCGGTTCAGCTCTGGGATGGTGGCTAGTGTCTCGATGTGCGCGTCGAGCTTCCTTGATCCGATGGTGGAGGCGATGAAGATGACTTTGCAGGCTGGACGAAGAAAAAAGAATGTCAGTATCAGATCAAACACAGTAAAGTCTGTATGTATGTATGTACGTACAGCTCCTCGTCACCGCCGCCCTAAACTCCTCCGGCGAATACGTCGTGTTCAGCACCACAACCGGACAGCCGATTCTGGCACCGCCCAGAAACACCTCGATATACTGGTAGCAATTGCCTGCTATGATGCCGACGCATTGGCCGTGACGCAGCCCCGTGTCCAGCAGGGCCTTGGCCACGAGCTTGCTGCGCTCCGCGAGCTGGCGGTACGTCAGGCGGGTCGACTGCCACGGCACGACGAGGGCTTCCTTGTCGCCATGCTGCTTTGCTTGCTCTGCGATGACCTCGCTGAGGGTCTTTGTCCAGAGGGGAGGATCGCTGGGGCCTTGGACCAGGGAGAGGTTCGCACCACCGGGGGGAGACACCATTGTGGAAATGAATTTCTCTTGCGAACAGCAGTTCTCAGCAAATCGATCAGCAGATCTATTCGTCTCCTGAGGAATCATATAGTCCGTTTATTTATGCTGCGTGTTTGGCCGTCTCCAGACCTCGACCTCGGGCTGGCTTAGGGCTCGGCCGGCTATCCTGGCCCGCCGGACATTCGGTCCGAGACGTCACGCATTTGCCCCAGACGAGAGAGTCGTGCGAGTGCGGAGTGTTCTAGCTCAGGGTAATCAGTAGCGTGATCTACAGTTCATAGTTAATATAGTTAATATAGTTAGTCTGCGTTGTCCTTGAGTCTATCGAGTTTATCGCCTTCCCTGCATCCCTCCGGACTGACCTCGCCATGGCCTCTCAACAGCCCTTCCCTGTCCAACACTCCAAGCTCGACCTGCGCGCGCCCAGCTTTGTCGCCAACAGAGAGAATTGGACTCCTGTGCTCGAACGGTTCGAGAAGGCGCTGAAAGATGTGTCTTCCGAGGGGACGGAGAGTTCGCTATCGCGGCATCAGGAGCGCGGGCAGTTGCTGCGTATGTACAGCACATAAAAACAAAACAAAATAATAATGATAAATAAATCGTTTGATTGACGCTAACTCCTGCTCAGCTCGTGACAGAATCGCCTTACTGCTCGACCAAGACTCGCCGTTCCTCGAACTGGGATGCTTCGCCGGCTTCGGGAATCCCGACTCGACGCCCTGCGCCAATCTCATTGCTGGAATTGGCTGTGTTAGGTAGGCTGCTGGCATCCCAGGCTGGCTGATCCCAGACTGACGGTCCATCAAGTGGCCGGCCCTGTCTGCTGATGTCGCATATTCCGACCCAGAGTGGCGGGGCGTGGAATGAGATGACAGTCATCAAGGTCAACCGGATTATGGAGATAGGCTTCGAGAACGATCTCCCGCTCATCTCGTTGGTGCAGTCGGTACGTACATTATGTCTACAGATCTCGCCCAGATAGCAAGTCTCTGACCATCAGGCCGGCGTCTTCCTCCCCCAGCAATTCCGCGTCTTCCACAAAGGAGGCCAGCTCTTCCGCGACCTGGCACTCCGCACGCAGCATGGCAAGCCCTCGTGCGCCATCGTCTTCGGCTCGTCGACTGCCGGCGGCGCGTATCATCCCGCGCTGTCGGATTACACCATCTTCGTCGAGGACCAGGCACAGGTCTTCCTGGGCGGGCCGCCGCTGGTCAAGATGGCGACTGGCGAGACGATCGGCGCAGAGGAGCTGGGCGGTGCCAGGATTCACGGCATGACGACCGGTCTGGCGGATCAGATTGCGACGGATGAGTATGCAATCTTCCTATTGGAAACAAGACTGCATCCTTGCTAAGGTCAGGCAGATTCGACGCCATCCAAAAGGCCCGCGAGTGGGTTGCTACCCTGCACAGGGACACGCCGCACTGTCTGCCGGAAATCATCACTCCGCTGGCCCCTCGCTATCCCATCGACGATATCCTCGCCATTGTCAACCCCGACATCCGCAAGCCGTTTGACATGCGCGAGGTCCTGCTGCGGATTGTCGATGACTCGCGGATGATGCTCTTCAAACCCAAGTACGGGACGAATCTGTTGACTGCGTGGGCGCACGTCATGGGTTAGTTTCTCTTATCTAGCAGAGTGTCTTGATACTAACAGTCTCAGGCTTCCGTGTCGGCATCGTCGCCAACCAAACGCCGGTCATCCATCCCAACGAGGCGGCCAAGGGAGCCCAGTTCATTCGTCTTTGCAACCAGCAGTACGTATCCTCCCTGCGTCAGCTAAAGTAAATCCGTCTGACAACGCAGGAACGTGCCCATCATCTTCTTCCACAACGTCACCGGCTTCATGGTCGGCCCCAAAGCCGAGCACGCGGGCATCATCAAGATGGGCGCCCAGATGGTCTCCGCAGTGAGCTGCTCGACAGTGCCACACATCTCCATCATCCTAGGCGCGTCGTACGGCGCAGGCAACTACGCCATGTGCGGGCGGGCCTACAAGCCTCGATTCCTCTTCACCTGGCCGACGGGCCGGTGCAGCGTCATGGGGCCAGACCAGCTGGCGGGCGTGATGGAGACGGTGCAGCACGCGAGCGCAAAGGCCAAGGGCCAGACGCTCTCGCCGGAGAAGCTGAAGGCGCAGGTGCAGCGCTTCCGCGACGAGGTCGCCCGCGACGCTGAGTGCTATGCTACCAGCAGCATGCTTATCGACGACGGCATCATCGATCCCCGCGATACGCGCGATGTTCTGGGTGTGTGTCTCGAGGTGGTCAGTTTGTCGGACGTCAGGGGGACGACGACGCAGCGGCTGCTGGCGAGGATATAGTCAGTCTACCTTGTCGGAATTGACAGTGTCAATTTAATTATGTCTGGAGTGTGGATGAATCCAGACCATATCAGAACTTTGCCGCCAGCACCCGCTCTACTTTCTATTCATCTTATCTGTTCACCTCGATTGGCGGCTGCTCATCAGGTTTCTAGCTATAGAATGGTTCTGTTGAGGTGGTTCGCCGAAGCTTTTCTGGTGCGAGTACTAGGTGAATGTGTATACTATCGGTAGATCCAGCTTGAACGAGTGTCTTACTTCTCAACGATTCAGTATGGTCCAGCTGATTAGTGTGCAAGTTTCTAGCTAGGTTAGTTGAATTTCTAGTCCTCTGTGGTCACCATTACTTGTTGATATCAAAGTCCACCTCTTGTTGATGGCAATCTGCCTGCTCCTTCTGATATTATTGGGCCTGCTCTATGCCAGAACATGCTTGACTACATATATCCACCATCTGCTGTGTCCGGTCTTGTGCCAGCCTCCACTCTAGCCTTCAGTATCGATGCTATGTTCCTCAGTAAGGCCACACATTTGCATGCAATGCTCTTTGTCGATCATCCTCTCCTAGATTGATAAAGTCTTGCTTGAATTGATTGCTGATCTCCCTGATACGTTGATAATCCTCTGGTCGTACCATGCCACCAAGCGGAATCAGGCCCTCATCATGCAGCTGATGCATAATAGACGAAATTCCTTCAATCAGCTCCATTTCATTCTGGTGTGATTCCAGTTCTTTGGTGGTGAACGTTACAGGACATGGCCCTGCATCCGGCGCAATGTCTTGCCAATGTGCAATGACAGAAAGCAGAGAATTCCGAAACGAGAACAGATCCTCCCTGTCCCAACAGCTGGGAGCCAGGGATATTGGCTTCGTCCTAACTGAGCGATACTTGGCCTTGATTGTCGCCCATCGCACAGGGTCTCTTTCTCGAACCAACTGTTGATAATACGCCAGAGGATCCATGCCCTGTTTCCCGTCTCCTGTAGTAGCCGTACTTTGGCTAGAGCCGCCTAAGGCTCCAGCATCTGTGGAAATTTGCGTTGTAAGAAAACCGGAGATATAGCCGTTGACTGCCAGTCAATTAGGCAAGAAATGCGCCTTGTCTCAGGATCAACAAGCACATTATCCAGATGGAGATCTGGATGCGAGATAGTCTTTCGCTGCCTACCGCTCGGAGAGTTCGTAACAAGATATGGAGCAAGCTTGAGATAGCGGCTCAGAAGAGATATGTAATCATCTGGTGTCTCGGGATGCTCCATGGATCGATAATAGTTCATCCGGGGTCGTGCATACGACTTGGCCCATTGTAGCTCGTTCATTCCTACGAGCTCCAATCCACCTACCTCCAAGCATATCTCCAAGCATCAAGTCCAATGACTTCTGCATCCATTCAACTGCTTTACAAGCCTGATCATTACCTAGGACCTAGACAACGAGCGGACCGACATGAACTGGTATTCATACTGCGCCGACCTCCACGTCGGACCGAACCGGACCGCGGATATCGTCCAGCACATCGGGATGCCGGGCAGCAGTCGATGTGCAATGACGATCGATAAGGAATAAGTTGAGCTGTCGTATCATAGGGGCATAGATAAATAACAAAAGTAGGTAATATGGTAATTACTGCGTTTAGTGTCGCTGGTCAACCTGCAGAATGACTGCCACCGGAGCTGCCAGCAGCAGCAACAACGCCAGCCATGGCAATACTCATGGCATCCCCTCCCGGAGATTGTTTGTAGCCCATTCTCCCCTCGACGCCAATGGCCGCCCAAAAATCCAAAAGGTGCTGATCGCCAACCGCGGCGAGATCGCCTGTCGCATCATCGCCACCTGCCGGAAGCTCAGCCTGACGTCGGTGGCCGTCTACGTGGAAGAGTGAGTATGCCTCGTTTTATTTGTGATTAATGCTAACCGACGTAGAGACAAGCTCTCGCAACACGTACTCGACGCCGACGAAGCCGTGCACCTCGGCAGCATCGAGCGCGGCAATCCGTTCCTCAACATCGACCTGCTCGTGCAGACGGCGCTATCCGTCGGCGCGCAGGCCATCCACCCGGGCTATGGCTATCTGAGCGAGAATGCACAGTTCGCTGAGAAAGTCCGCCAGGCGGGCCTCATCTTCATCGGCCCTAGTCCCGCCGCCATGTCGACGCTGGGCGACAAGCGCGCGTCCAAGGACTATCTCCGCAGACATGCCCCCGACGTGCCGCTCATCCCTGGCTTCGCCGGGTCGAGCCAGGAGGTCGAGGACCTCGAGAAGGCCGCCGCGGAGATCGGGTTCCCCGTCATGCTGAAGGCGTCCGCCGGCGGCGGAGGCAAAGGCATGCGAATCATCCGCGAGGCATCCCAGCTACGCTCGGAGCTCGGACGCGCGCAGTCGGAGGCGCAGCGCTCCTTCGGGTCCAGCGACTGTATCCTGGAAAAGTACGTCGAGCGCAGCAAGCACGTCGAGATCCAGATTCTGGGCGACAGCCACGGCGAGGTCGTGGCGCTGTTCGACCGCGACTGCTCCGTGCAGCGCCGCCATCAGAAGCTCATCGAGGAGACACCGTGCCCGTTTCTGACGCCCGAGACGAGGAAACGCATGGGCGACGTCGCCGTCCGCATCGCCAAGCTCATCGGCTACGAGGGCGCCGGCACGGTCGAGTTCGTCTTCGACGTCGCCGCCAACCGGTTCTACTTCCTCGAGGTCAATGCCCGGCTGCAGGTCGAGCACCCGATCACAGAGGAGGTGACCGGGCTGGACCTCGTCGCGCTGCAGATCTTCGTCGCCGCCGGCGGGCGTCTCCGCGATCTGCCAGTCATGTCGAATCTGTGCCAGACCGGACACGCCATCGAATGCCGGCTCTGCGCGGAGGATCCGCACCGGGACTTCTTCCCCGATCATGGCCGCATCCAACTGTGGCGTCCGGCCTTGCAGAACCGAGAAGGCGTGCGGTACGAAACGGCCATCCGGAGCGGCGCGTCGGTGTCGATCTACTTCGACTCGATGATCGCCAAGATCGTCGTGTGGGCGCCGACACGGGCGATGGCCATCGAGAAGCTGGCCAGGGAGCTCGCTGGCACGACCTGTCTGGGCGTGAAGACGAACCAGCTGTTCCTGCAGAGCTGTCTGCTGCACAGGGCCTTCCACGACCCGGCATACACGACGTCGTTCATCCCGGCCCATCTGCCGGAGCTGCTCCGGAATCCGTACGCGGCGCAGATCCCAGGCAGTCTGGACTATCTGTCCATCGTCCCATGCCTCTATCTGCGGCGACTCAGCTCCCAGGTCCGCGACCCGACCAGTCGCGCCCCTTTCCACGGCGTCCGCCGCCAGTTCCGTAACCAGCGGTTTGATCCCGTCAACGTGCACTGCGATATCGTGACGGCCGTTGACGGCCGGACGAAGGAGCAGCCGACGATGTGCGTGTGGAAGCCGTCTGCGGCGGGCGACAATGGTCAAGAGCTGCTTCTCTACCCTGTTCCCACTGGCAGTTCCTCGAAGGCCAGCAGCGCAGATGCAGCTGCAGCGAGGGAGCTCACGGTGCGGTACAACGCGATCAGCCGTGCCCTGCGCAGCGGTGAGGTGGTCAGCTCAGGCTCTTCGTACCGCGTGAGCATCGGCCACTGGCAGCCGGTACAGGGCAGTCCTACTGAGCCGAAATCATGGTTGGCGTCGAGCATGGAAGTGAGCATCAACGAGCGCAAGATGCTTGCGTACATCGCAGTGGCTGCCGACGACATGACCCAGACGCACATCGACCGCCCGCAGCGCATCTGGTGCCACTTCCCTGCGCTGGGGACATCGATCGAGTACCGGCGCGACACGCTGCTCACGTACTGCGACAGCATCCGGCAAGTCGCCGCGGCCGCGACGGGAGGCGGACAGCAGAAAGTGGTGACGGCGCCGATGCCATGCAAGATCCTGTCCATTCTGAAGAAGAGTGGCGACAAGGTCGAGTCGGGTGAAAGCGTCATGGTGATCGAGAGCATGAAGATGGAGGTCAGCATCTCCGTGTCGGCGAGCGGGACGTTCCGGACGAAGTGGAAGGTTGGCGATGCGGTGGACGAGGGGGGTGTGCTGTGCGAGGTTGAATAAAGCATCAGAAGCAGCGTATGTATCTATTAAAGCGGTTCAGTTGGATATGTATTCTGTATTCAATTAGTAGATAGAGATTGAGTAGACATGGATTGAGAACAAGTATGTCGCATGGACGGAATATATACAGCCGTTAAAAAATAGAATTCATATAAAACGAAGATGAAAGTGACGAAAGAAGGAGAACAGAAGGAATTGCAATATTTTACAGCTTTAGGCTGACAATAAACGCAGAAACTCACCTAGCTAACGAACTAGCGATCAGCATTTCCAACCTTAGAAATTTCTCTCCATGTCTCCATCTGTCTCACTCCCTTGACTTAGTCCTCAAAGACCAAAGCACCAATAAGCCAGATTCAAAATAGCAAATAATTTAAACACATTTGGAGTAAACTCGCATTCCCTTGCTTTCATACTCTACATCCTGGGGAAGGGGAACATAAATCAGACAAGAGAAGAAAGAATCAATCAATCAATCAATTTCATTAATCTATTGATTCATTCGTAGTTGAGTTCAGCTTTATATATCTTGAAGAGAGAGAAAGACATTCTGGATATTTTATAGACATTTATCTACCCATCTGCTAACGGAATATGAAATCTGCAATATCCATTCATATCACATGGAATGTCACTTGAGGATTACATGTGAATGTGCCATTTATTAAAGAGGTACGTGTAACTAACTGTAAGTACTTATTAATAAATGTAGTTGATCGATATTGAATTTCCCTCTTCCTAGGCTAGTTTTATAACATAAATAAATTTAATGTTAAAAAAAAAGGCACATACACAGAGAAGCTATCCATATAATCCGCAGAAGGACGGAACAAAGACATTGAAGGTTTGATCTACAATAATAGTATCTTCAATGATTCTTCTGTGCTCCTTTCATTTTAGTCTACTGTATGTATGAGCATTGACAACAAGAACGAAAAGGGCAATATATGCAATCCAGGAGGTTATGTTTACTGTATTCGAGCATAATATACTCCTGCATACAGCATGTGCAATTAATGAGCAATCAAGATGCTGTTCAATTGCCATCACCTCCCTGCCCATGATAGACGGCATAATTCTTCGGAGTAGTTAGGGCTGAGGTCAAATCAGATTTACAATGACAAGGAAACTGAGTTGCGGAGTTGTTGGATTTAGGAGAAATACATTAATCAATTACTTATATAATTTCTTTATGCTTAGAAAGGCGTCAAAGTCAAGACATAGCTTAACTACTGAGTATTAACTAGCTAATTGTTGATATAGACCAGTTTTGAGCTTGTAAGGAGAATGTCATTGGAACTGCTCGAGGAGAACGTTATGAAACCTGACCGATATAAATAATAACCTTACAGAGAACCGCTCTACTACGACGTCCAGAATCACTCTCTGTCGTGATTGACGATTCCATTTATCTATTATTCTACAGCTTTAAAAGGAAGACGCCTCTTCCCAAGCCTTAATTCAATAGCACTCAGGACCGGTATTATTTTAACATACTAAAATAGAGCCATCATGAATAACGACTTGCCCTTATCAGATCTGTGTCTTGGCGACGGTATTACCACTACAACTGTAGGGCTAATCCTATCAGATGAAAATAACAATATTGGACTGCAAGAATATTGAATGAACCAATGTAACGATCTGATTGTAGAAATCACGCGGTATGTATGTACTCTGTACAGCTTAGCTGCCCTGTTATGGCCCCCAATGTTACTCCGACCCTGCCAACAGACGATTCAGATGGATGGATACTGGCCATCCATCCATTGGCAGGGATGGGTTCTGCAGTGGCAGTCGTGTACTACAGTCCCTGTCCCGGGACAAATTACGAGTACTCCGTACGCTAGATTAAATGCGTCTAACGGCTGGATTGTCTTCTGCAGTGCAGGAGACTACAGGATTGTCAGTGAGGCTCAAGACAGACTTTCTAGATTTTCTGCAGGAAACTTGGTTGTTCCTCGAACTGTGTCTCTAATGCTACGTATCCTTTCCAGAGGTCTCTCGAGACGTCTGCATATCGCTTCGAGCTGGCTTTCGACCAGTCACAGTATTTTGCTATTGTTGCAGGAACGTAAATGAATGACTGGTATGAATAAATCTTTTCTCTTCTTTCTCTCCCTATTTTTTTTTAAAAAAAGATTCCCCCTGCTAAATTCAACTTATCAGATCAACTACTAATTAGCGTGTACAAGCATACTCTCGTGCCGAACTGCTTATATAGAGGCCAATTTCATCATAAATAAGTGGCAGTAATATGACCGATTGTGCTACTAACTGACCGTTCCACAGAATAGGGATCCTCCTTGCAGGAACTGCGTTACCATCTTCTCTCTTGAGACGTAAGGCGCAATATGCCATACCGCTGAAGATCAAGGCTACGAGGCAATGTGCACTGCAGCAGGAGAATTGCCAAGAGCTGAGTCTGGAGGGCAATGGGACGAACATACATACATAGTTTGTTGCACGAGATGAGGTTGTTGTGTCAGTATGTATGTTCTTTTCAATTTTAAACCAGTAAGTATATGACAGCCTGTTGAGCCCAATAAGCATAAAACTGTCCAATAATGAGATGGATTTGATTGCTAAAGCTAGGAAAAAAATTCTATTGTATAGTGTTTAGATTTAGATTGAAGTAGCAATCATATCGAATTTTTTTTATTTCAAAAAATAACGTCGAATGCTGGGTAAATTAAGATATATTGTGCAGACTTAAAGTGATAGCTATAAGCCAATAATCTATCCTAATTAAGAGGGTAAGGGTCTAGGTGAATCTACTAATACGGAGTATATCTTAATGAACTGGTGGTAAGTTAGCTTTCCCAGTGATGAGATGAGAGACTTTTATCTTGAAGCCAAACTTGCGGCCTCGTCAAGCATCTCTCCGACGCCAATCATTTATTTCTCATACTTATTCACGTGCATCTGAGAAAAAAAAAAAGAAAGAGAGAGAGAGAAAAGGAAAAGTCGGCCGGCTGTCTATCTGATGATAGATATCCACTTGACTGTGGCTGCTGATAATCTGGATTATCCTAAAATCTGACCGTCTCAACCCGTCAACATGGTCCTGGTTCGAAGCTGACCCAATAATGCCACCGATACCCCGGACAAAGAAGTCGAACTCTTGCTACGACCGGCGTAAAGGGATCGACAGTGGGCCAAGGCGCAACTAATGCATGCACGGTCCGGATGGGGTACGAGCTGGCTGGCCTTGAATTGCACAGACTGCCCAATAGCCAATGGCATACTGTGTCCTTGCTGGGCCTAATTACAGAGTACTCCGTACTCGATTGATTGCATTTGATTGCAATCTGGGCTGGCTGGCTGCCCCTTCACATGATTCTTTCTTCATGTGCTGGCACTGATCAACGGTGATCTCCCTCGCTTCACGCTCCCCACTGCATTGCTGATTCTCCATTGCCATCTGTTACTCCGTAGACATGGAATAATACGGCCGTAATAATATAACTAGATTGTAGATTGAAGTACTGGATTGATATTACCGTAGATGTTATCGAGTTAAGATACTGGGCGCAGACACAGCCAGCTGAATACCATCCAGCCACCATGCCAATGCCTCGAGACGTCTAGACTGCTGCACAGTCCCTCGGGCTGCACTACTGCCACCGTCCTCGGCCTACACTGCTGCACCGGGCGCCTAAACCTGCCGATACCGATACAAGTCGATAACTGCAGCTTTCTCCTGCTCCTCTTATCAGCATCACCTCCTGTAGAGGTGTTCTCCAAAATGCCCGTTCTGCCCCTCTCAGCATCAACATGAACATCGTTGCGGCGGACAACCGCACGCCCATCGTCAATGTCCTCACCTGGTTCCTCCTGACGGCCGCTGTGCTCAGCGTCATCACTCGCCTGGGCACCAAGTACTTTATCCGCGGGCGACTGAGCCCGGACGACTACATCATATGTGTCTCTCTCGTGCGTCTGACCCTTGAATCGATGGTGCACAGACTCATGCCTCGTCTAGCTCTTTTGCGCGCTGCAGTCCATCTGCGTGTCCGTCGCGACGGGCAATCGTTATGGCCAGCCGATCGACCGGATGAGCGCTGACCAGATCAATGCGGTGCTCAAGGTAGATTCCTCGAATGTCCGGACATACGAATGACAATCTAACAACCGCAGTCGTCCTATGCAGCCGATCTGCTGTACATCGCCAGCCTGTTCCTGTCCAAGCTGTCCGTCACCACGTTCGTCAAGATGGTCGTTTCCGTCTTCTCCGAGCACAAGACCTCGTGGGTGCTGATGGCCCTGCTGGCCGTCTGGGGCCTGACGTCCGAGTTTGCGGCCGCATTGCAGTGCCAGCCTCCGCGGACGTGGGACTTTATCAATCACCGGTGTTTCAACAGGGTAGAAGATGGCACAATCGATGCGCTCCCAGACTACTGGCTGACTGGACGTATGTACATGCATAGGCCGCATGGTGGAACTACTTCGACGTGTCCAACATCGTCACCGAGATCGTCATCATTGCCCACCCGACCTCCATCGTCTTCCGCCTGCATACGAGTCTGCGAAACAAGGTCGTTGCGACGATCTGCTTTCTGACGCGATTATGGTAGGTTCACCGCCGAGAGAAGTGTCAATCGATCAATATCCGACTAACTTCTCAGCGTCATTGTTGCAATTGTCTGCGCCCTCGTCTACCGCAACCGCACCATCATCGCGCCCGATCCGATGTTCGACACATGGCCCGTGGCCGTCTGCGTGCAGGTCGTGCAGAGCCTGAGCATCGCGACGGCGTGCTCGCCGCAGTTCAAGCCGTTCCTGGAGAGCCTGCAGTCGAGCGGGCTGCGACTGTACGAGCTGCCGAACAGGAAGAACCGGACGGACAGCGACAGCCGGTATCCGCGGACGATCGGGTCAGCGAGCATGGTCGACCGGCACGAGCGTGCGCTGGAGCTAAACCTGTCGCCGCAGCCAGCTGCTACCAGGACGGTTGTCACGGCGGCGCAGCAGGACTGCGACGCGAACAGCCAGTCGAGCCAGGCGCAGATCATCCGCGAGACGCGGACGTGGGCCATCACCGAGCAGAGGGAGCAGAGGCATTCGGTGGCGGGCGTGTCGGATACGAGTGCCCAGGGGATAGATCGTATACGGTCTGCCGTGTAGTGACGTGATATGAGTTACGATCTTTCTTTAGAAATGGCTCTCATGTATGGATATGAATACGTTATGGATAATGCTATGATACCCGATGTTTACGAGTATAACGGTATAACGATGCTATGACAGATATATTCTATTGAGGCCTATTTACTGATCAACATCAAGTTCCATCAGACCTAAAAATAGTAAAGTGCAGCTACATGTACTCTGTATTATCGAGTTCTTCTTATTATTCCTACCTTATCGGCCAGCCCCTGTGGGAACTTCAACCCGGCAACCTGGTGGAGAGCCTAGAAGATCGCCATCTGCGCTAGGGATAACCCGGTAGCCCACCGGGATCGACAAAGAAATTGGGTTACTGGCAGTGGGGACGAGTGGGGAGCAGAATTAGTGCAAGTTAAAAGTAAAGCTGCTACGCTAGGATCGGATTGTTGCATGTGTAAATTACAGATGTATGGGGTGAGGCTTTTATATGGCTTTATTCGGACGCTAGATATATAGGAGATAGGCTAATAAAGGACAATAAAAGAGAAATAGATTCCATTATTCAAGTAGTAGAATAAATTAGTTTCACATACTACATACGAAATGAGTGTTCGAATATCGGTATTTGCAATTATTATTTTTTTAAAAAAAAACACAATTCTAGCTACAGGCAAGTCGGATTCCCCCAACCTGTCCAATAAGAAAACAGTGATCTACAGACAAGGATTTCGCCCCCGTCCTCTTTGTCCCTTGACCTTTGTCCTGGATGGTCATAGTCATAGTCTTGTAGTCTCTGTCGGAGTAGAGACAGAGTATGGAGAACAGGTAGAGCATGAATTTAGTGCTTGTGGTCAACAAGATGATGCACACTCCGATTTACACAATCCTACGTATTCCTCCATAATCCTGTCCAGTCAGGACTCAGCCGTATACACCCTGGTCTGCTCATGCAGCTAGCAGCTAGCTAACCAGCCAGTGCAGCCAGCCCCAACTACCTAAGCTAGCGACCTGTCATCATTCCAGTACTCCGTACTAACGTAGCCTGGGGTCTTTCTGGCCTGGGCCGTGGCTGAGTTCAGTCACGTTTGCGTTTGCTTGCTGTCATTGAGCGCGTGCTGTCGCCGTTGCAAACGATTTCGGACGCAAAATGAATTAAAATTATTATCTATTCTCCAGATCAGCTGGGCTGGTTTCAATCTGTAGAATGCTTTTCGCTTATTCCATTTGATTTGATTTTTATTTTTTATTTATCTTTTTTATTTTTATCGATATTGCGCATACCTATTGAGATATTTTCCTTCTTTATGAACATCTCCCCCTCTTCCCCTCCGGTGGCCGCCACCATGGAGGCTCAAGGTCAAGGCCACGGTCAAGGCCAGGAACTAAAGTCAATGTCCATCGATCCCTCGCCCGATGCAGAGGGCGAACCCGAAACAGAGGAAGTGGCAGACTTGAGCAGTGTTCGTCACAGTCAGCGCCATGAAGACCATCTGCTGCGACGGTTGGGCAAGAGGCCGGTCCTGAAGGTGAGGGCTTTCATTCCAATCCTAATCTGCGCTGCTGCTGACAACTCCAGCGAACGTTTGGTTTTATGAGCATTCTCGGCTTCAGCTGCACCATTCTCGTCACTTGGGAGGGCTCCATGGTGTAAGTCTGTCGAGTCGACTCTCCTAGCGACTGTCCGTCACTGACTGCCATAGCACCTTCTTGGAAGCGTTTAAAAAGTACGTTATTTCGACCATCGCCCTCTCCAACTGACTGTATTTCTGATGAGATGCAGTGGAGGGCCTGCCGGCGTCATCTACAGCTACCTCTTCGTCTGGGCCGGCACGTTCGCTACCTTCACCACCATGGGTGAGCTGGCTTCCATGTATGTAATGTACTCTTAATAGCATGGATGACTTCTGACGACTTAGGGCGCCCACGTCCGGCGGCCAGTACCATTGGACCTCGATGCTGGCGCCTCGCGCTGCTCACAAGTTCTACAGCTACCTGGCTGGTGCGTTCCCCCGATGTCACAGACAGCATGATAGATAGATGCTGACAAGCCAGGCTGGCTCACCGTGCTGGGCTGGCAGGCCGCCGTCGCCTCGAGCGCCTACCTATCTGGCTCGCTCATCCAGGGCCTCGTCGTGCTGGCCGACGCGTCGTACTCGCCGCAGCCCTGGCAGACGACGCTCGTCATCTGGGCCGTCGTCGGCTTCGGCGTCCTGATCAACGTCGCCGTCAGCGGCCTACTGCCCAAGTTCGAAGGCGTCATCCTCATCATCCACCTGCTCGGCTTCTTCGCCGTCCTGATCCCGCTCGTCTATATGGGCGACCACAACTCGGCCGCGTTTGTCTTCACCACCTTCATCAACGGCGGAAACTGGCAGACGCAGGGCCTGTCGTTCTGTGTCGGCATCGTCGGCAGCATGTTTGCCTTTATGGGCGCTGATGCTGCCGTTCACGTAGGCATCGTCCATCAGATTGTGTTTCTACCTCGCTGACGAGATGTAGATGTCCGAGGAAATCCGCCACGCGTCTGTCATGGTCCCCCGATCCATCCTCACCAGCCTCGTCCTCAACGGCACCCTCGGCTTCGCCATGATCCTGGCCACGCTGTTCGTGCTCACCAACGTCGACGCCGCCATGGACTCGCCCACCGGCTACCCCTTCATGGAGATCTTCTACCAGGCGACGCATTCGCGCGGCGGGAGCACCGTCATGGCCGCCATCGTTACGGCCATGATGGTCACCGCCACCGTCGGCGCAATCGCGTCGTCGTCGCGCATGATCTGGTCGTTTGCGCGGGACCGCGGCATGCCGGGATGGAGGGTCCTGAGTAAGGTATATCCTGGCAGTATCCTCTGTATCATATTTTTTTTTTCCTTTCTAATTGCTTCAGGTCGACCCTCGAACAGCCATCCCCATGTACGCCGTCGCCGTCGCCACCGTCGTCGGCTGTCTGCTGGCGCTGATCGTCATCGGCTCAGAGACGGTGTTCAACGACGTCATCTCGCTATCCGTCAGCAGCCTGTACACATCGTACCTGCTGTGCGCATGCCTGCTGCTCTACCGGCGGTGCACGGGGGGCATCCTCTCCGAGACGACGGAGGTAGTGCACGCCGTGCGCAACACGGCCGGCGCGCAACTCGTCTGGGGGCCCTTCCACGTCCTGGGCATCTGGGGCGTCTTCGTCAACTCCTTCGCCGTCGTGTACTTAGTCATCGGCGTGTTTTTCAGCCTGTGGCCGCCAGACCGGTTCGTGACGCCGTCGACAATGAACTTCAGCGTCGTTGGCACGGGGGGTGTTGTCTTGCTCAGCACGCTGTACTATATCTTTGTCGCCAAGGGGACGTATACCGGTCCTGTGGTGGAGGTTGGTCGCGCTTGATGCAGGCCTGGCGGATGTATTTCTCTAATGTATTGGTAATGTGCCCGGCAGTATTGGGAGATGGCGTTTGGGTTATTCCTTCTGTATGGGAAAAGTTATAGGTCACAAATAATGTCATTGGTATTGCTATTCTAGATGTATGCGCTTAATAGTAGTTAACTAAGTACCGATTTGATGTGTATAGACAGCTTCTCTGAAGGAAACATATTATATTTAAATTATAATTATATCCACCGGCGTATTATTTCACTTAACTTGGTACTTCACTAATATACCTTTTCCAAATATGAAATCCCGATAATCTCTCATCTCCCATCTATCCAGTACTAAGCTAAGTACCACCAGTCTCATCAACCAATTATGATGAGATAATTCAACAGCGATGCAATCAGCTGATTACACAAGATGCATGACATGCATGCATGCAGCATCATCCACACTGTTTAATTAATCTGTTGGTTGTCTCCAGCAGCAATACTATTATGTATGTCTATGTTCATGTACGTATGTTGTACGTACTCAAGTTCCATCCATATAGAGAGTGTGTATATAAAGTCTCTGTCCTCACCTATCGCACTATAGTCCCCTTCTTGTTTTAGGCGGTTAGAATACGCTTTCTACCTAAACTAGGTGCATTCACACAAACAGGGATAAGATAAAACTGAAGGGGTGGGGTAACAGATACAGTATGCAACTAGCAGCTAGTTTTTCTGAACTTTTTTTTTCAGCCGCGTTTCTGTTCGATTTGTGTTAATTAATTAATTTATATTAGCTTCCTGGTACACTTTTAAGCTTTTTTTATTATATTAATTTATGAATGGAGGCATTTTTATTGGCTCTCTTCTTCAGTCCTAGGACGAGCTGATCGTGCAGAATACGAGTATTGATTCTCTTAGCTTACCCCGCACTGTAAGTAGTTTCTCTACTCTTCGCTATTTGTTTGACTAGAGCCGCGGAGATGTTGCCATTTTGATATGTGTCAAGAAGAGACTTGACAGGCGGTTGCATATGTAGATGTATGTCTGAAATCTGTTGACATTACCAAGTAACTCTGTGCTATAATAAGGCAGCAAACCGCGAGCACTGTCTGCCCAGGTAGAAATGACAAGACATGTGGGCGTCTTGATTAGCACCTATGTATGCACATATGTAGAGCTATTACATAAAAGCGCTATATCGCTTATTTATTAACATGGAAGATACTAGGCATTGCTACTCGATTGCTTTTCCTTTTTTACTATAAGGAACAGAATTGGTTTTATATGTAAAGCTAGCTCCAGATTTATAGATTCCGAGCTACAGAGAACCATAGGAAACTTGCCTTGTAGTTAGCTTCAAAATGCAAATGAGCAATACCTAAAGACCTTTGTAACTCATATTCGAACAGTACAATAACATCGAAATGCAAAGCATAATGTCAACCGGCAGCTATCATTCATACTAGGGGTTCGCTAGATAACCTAGGTTTTTCTTTTGTGCCCCAGTTTGTTTGACACATAAGTAATACTCGCATTTTCTCTCTACAATCTCTGGATCCTTTCCCAACGTTGAAGGCCTAAATAGAGAATCCTTGCAGACTAGTCCACTACCAACATAATACAGAATATCTAATTGCATGACGCGTATATAGTCAGATTCAGGCTTGCTATGTTGATTCGTAATATGTACTGAATTCTGACGTGCTGAGAATCAGCTGAGTTTGAGTTTGACCTTGGCTGACAGAAACAATATATATGTATGATGTATACAGCTTGCATTAAGTTATCCAGACAATGTCCAAACTCATCACCGTCTTCGGAGCAACCGGTACCCAGGGAGGCTCAGTTATCCGCGCCATTCTCGCCGATGCTGTTCTCTCTCAGGAGTTCAAGATCCGTGCTATCACACGCAATGTCTCAAAGCCGGCGGCGCAGGCGTTGCAGAAGCTGGGCGTTGAAGTGAAAAATGTATCCTCCTCAATTCTGCAGTAATGCTAGTGAAAACGAACCTGACAAAGGTTGAAAAGGCAGACATGACCTCCAAGTCCTCTCTCGCATCAGCAATCAGCGGCTCACATTCCGTCTTCCTCGTCACCACCCCATCCTGGGACGCAAGTGATCCCAACGCAGAGCTAGTCCAGGGAAAGAACGTCGCCGACGCCGCCAGAGAGGCCGGCGTGCAGCATCTGATATACTCCTCTCTCTCATAAACGTGACTGAGGCTTCTGGAGGCCGGCTAAAGCACGTGTCACATTTTGACCAGAAGGCGCAGGTTGAGCAGTACATTCGCGCCACGGGGGTGCCTTGCACGTTTGTTCTGCCGGGGTACTACATGGAGAATTATATCAGGTTTGGAATGTTGCGTCGTGATGATGAAGGGGTGTATACTTTGGTATACCCTGTCGGAAAGGAGGCAAAGTTCCCCCTGCTCGATGGTGCAGAGGATATGGGTAGGTGAACTGCCAACCACATGATAGATAGATCAAGCTTACAGTGTATGTTCTCCAGGAAAATTCGTCCTCGCAGCCCTCAAACACCCCTCCAAGCTCCTCGGGGCACGCATCCTCGCTGCCACAGAGTACTACACACCCCCATGGATCGTCGCAGAATTCGAAGAGGCCACTGGCAAGCGAGCGCGATACATCCAGGTCGATGCACAGACATACAAGAGTTTCCTGCCCCCTGCGATGGCGGATGTGGTGCTCGAAAATCAGCTTTTGATTGAGGACCCGGGGTATTATGCTGGTGAAGGGTTGGAAGAGAGCTTGGAGCTGCTGGGTGATGTTGGCTTTGAGCCGACTACGTGGAGGGAGTTTCTGGAGAGAAATAAGGATGTTTTTGAATAAGTTGATAGAGGAATATCCGGAGCTGAACTGAATTGAAGTGAGTTGTCAGATCTCTACTGTATCCTCCTGTATCCTCCAAGTAGCAGGTTGGACTAGCTTCTTAAATAAAGGTTACATGTTTAGCAAAAGTTCTAAAAAAAGGCTTTGTTTCTTTCTCTCTCTTTTTCTTTCTTTCTAAATGATAGTTCAGCATAAAGGTAAATTCAACCAAGTGTTAGGATAGGACAGTCCGGCTTCAGAAAAGTGTAATGATACTAGGAATACGACAAGCGTGGTTCTTCAGACTCTTATCGACTGTCGAAGTTCTGTTTATTTTTATACTTCTTTTAGGATACTACGTCCTTTCCACTCGATGGTCAGAGTAAGGCAGTAAGCAGTGCTGTTCTCGAGTCAGTGCTAGTAACGGCCTTATTTCTAGCATTTCTTTACCTTCCTTTCCTCTTTCTTCTTTTTATCTCCGCTGGAGAGGGCCTCTTCCATGAATGAAATTGAAGGCCTTGTTTGTCATGTTGGTAATTTCAACCCGTAGATAGATAGGTCACGATAGATAAGTTACATTCAGCAGCCTCACAATATCATCACCCCGCTATTTACAGCTCCCTGTAGAGCAGTGCCATAGTCTCCTCCTTGCAAATTTGGGTCTGCCCTGGCATCAAGCAGAAGCTTCACTATTTCTTGATGACCACCAGCTGAAGCAGCTTGTAGGGCAGTGCCATATTCTCCTCCTTCTAAATTTGGGTCTGCGCTAGCACTGAGGAGAAGCTTCACTATTTCTTGATGGCCCCAGAATGAAGCAGCATATAGGGCAGAGCCATATTTTCCCCCTTGCAAATTTGGATCAGCCCCTCTACTAAGAAGAAGCTCCACGATCTTTGTGGAGCCCTGATATGAAGCTTTCTGCAAAGCAGTATTCTTGTATTTATCCCGGACATTGATATCTGCTCCGGCCTGAATCAGCTCGTTCACTATTCCCACGTAGCTTCCCACGGAAGCTGCATGTAAAGCGGTGCCAAATTTGTTCTTTTCATTGACATCGACCACATGTTCAGCAAGAAACACTCGAACGAGTTCCTCGAGTCCAAAGAATGCGGCCAGGTAAAGCGGGCGCGGGAGTCTGTTGGCGAAACCGTGTCTATAATAGAACAGCCAGCGATAACGGAAGACATAGTCGCTTGAGGAGAGAAGCCTCCTGAAGAGGGGATTCATTTCTTCTGTATTCCTCTCGGCGTATCGCAGGTGATCAATCCAGTAAAAAGCTGAATATTGGGCTAGCGGAAATTGCGCGCATAGATCCTTAAAACTCAAGTTCTGGTCATAAAACCGCAGCAGATATATCAGGCATCCTTTCCCGATCTTTACATGGGAGGACTTCTCTGGAAGATGGTAAATTGGCAGGACATTTTTTATCCGTTCTGACACTAGATACTCCTTGACTGAGTAGTGTGCCAACTTGACGTAGGATTTTTCATATCCAGTATCTTCACCAATAGCAACCAGGCTAGAGCATATTGCGATCACATCAGATGGATCCGGAAGAACTTCTTCTGTGTTGAAATCGTAGTTTTCAACATCGATCGCGACTACTTCCGCTAGTTCGTCAAGGCGAAGTGGTTTCTGAGAGTAGACAAGCCACGTCAGGATTCTAAGGGCATACTGCGCGTTGTCTTCGTCTATGGAGCGAAGAATCCGCTCATAGGTCTCATCGAGTGTTGGAGGCAATGTTTGCAATGACTTTCGGAGCTTGAGACGATTCACGCACTTTCCCAATGAATCTAACTGACACGCAACCCAGCGAAACCTGGTTTCACCGTCAGAACATATATGATCAAACATCTTGGCTATTTGGGCTTCAATGTACACCTACATTCCATCTGCCTTTTCCATCAGTGTCTCTTCAACTTCTCTTTGAATACTGTGGTCTCGTTCCCACCGCTCGAGATATCTGTCATTTGACCACCGGTGACGAATGTAACGACGAATGTCCTCATTAATGAGAGGGATTTGGAGAGGCACAATAAAGTTCTCTGATAGGAGAGGCCGGAGGGCTAATTCAATGTCATGCTCTGCACGACTGGTGACCAGCATGTGGAAATTCTCCGCATTCAGAGAAGCGAGCTGCTCGAGCGTGTCCAACAAATCCTCGCGCTCAGCGCATTCATCCAGGGCATCCAGCACAAGGTGGACTTTAGAATAGTCCGGGATCATTCTAGACAGTGTCGAGCAGAGGGCCTCGGTGGATGGTTCCTGACTGCCGTCATTGCAGGATGAGAATAATGACTCCAAAGCCGAAGGGACTTTCTGACACTGCTTTGAGAGCTGTGCAACAATCGACTTCAACATTGGCTGTACTCGCTGCTTCTGGATGTCATTAAAGTCAAAGTAATAGAATGCGACCGCATTCGTAGGATCGTCATTTGAGCGCTGAATGAGATCCTGGATGATGGATGAGCTCAGAATCGTCTTACCACATCCAGGGATTCCGTGAAGCCACAAGAATGATGCCTGTTTTGTCTTCCATTCTGTATATTGAGAACCCTCAATAAACCAGCGTCCCGTGTCAGGCAGACATTGCTTGAAGGCCTTGTTGTGGTTGACATAGGGATCGGGGGGAGAAAGCCACTTCTGGATCTTGCTCAATATTTCATCTGACATAAAACCAGTCAGGTTTCTCAGAAGAAAAGAAAACAAAGGGATAGTTAATGAAAAATATCTCAGAGTATGACACATTGAGTGATGTGCGCTGTGCTGTTGACTGAGACAAGGTGGTCTCAACAGTGGCGTATAAGGAGAATCCTACCTTTCTGTGCCAATGCGGTGGAGGAGGCAGTTGCGTGATAATGTGTCAAAGTCTGTAGACGGCCTCTGATGGCTGACTGTATTTTCTCGACATTGGACTCCTTCTGCACGCTTTTCAGGGCGGCCGCTGTCTTATTCCTCCACGAGTCTCCCGTTGGTAGGATCCTCTCAAGAAGCTGATTGAGTTCTTCTACTTGCTTCTGGCAAGCATCGATCACAGGAGACAATGCCTTTTCTGTCTTCTCATCGATTCGTCCACCATCGATAGCATCCTTTGTTATTTCCAAGGTGTGAATCAGGAGCGGTAAATCAGTTGCAATCTGGTGGAAGGAGTCTGGGAGGTCCCCGGCCTTGGAGCGGTATTCATTGAGACGACGAAGCACTCTGTTGCCAAAGTCGACAAGCTGGACAATACTGGCCACGGCGCCTATTGCTGCAAGTGCCTCCGCCATGATCACGGGGATTCGGGATCGTCAAGAAATGCAAGACGAAGATGTGCTTAACAGGAAAAAGCCAACGATCAGGTATTCTCAAGCATTAACGACAGCTTGACAGGAAGTGTCAATAGAGAGCCAGGCCTTGAACTTGGAAGAGATTTGATCTGCGAGCGAGTTCAGCCTCGCGAAGGTCGTCACTGCCCGAGTTGGTCAGCCTCGCGCAGCCCGATCGTGCGGGGTGCGCCTCGCGCAGCAGAAGACGCAAGACACCCCGGACGCTCATTCTGATGAGTAGCATTTAGTTCAACGTGAGGGTTCATTGCGGACAAATGCAGACACGAGTGCATAAGGTCACTTCGAGGAATTCTGTAATAGTTGAAGTATTCCATCCGATAAAGCTCTCATATAACGTAATTCCCGGTTAACCCGAACACCCGGTTGACCCGAACACCCACCCGCACCCACGAATACTATATAGAACTTGAAGCTGTATTATCTACCCAAAACGCCAATTATATACAAAAATCATGGATTAGAGCGATTTTGGCATCGAGTCCGTATATGCCCAATAGTTCCACAGTTAGTACACTTCGGCGCGGTGCGCGCGTATGAGGTGCAGAAGCTGCCTCTGCGGCTGGTGTGGCCATAGCCTGCGGCACCTGATTTTCATCTGAAATTCGATTTTGAACAAGAGCCTGCGCTTCCTGAATTGAAAGACCCCCTTCATGAGCTATTTGATTGGTCGATCGCTTACGCTTTTGCTTCTGCTTCTCATTTGCAGCCCGTAGATCGTGATTTTCCTTTGCAAGAATGACAGCACTTATTCATGGCTAATTGACAGCCCTTGATAAGCTGATTTAAAGCTGCATCTGTAGGGCTCGGAGGAGGCCTTGATCGTAGCTGCTTGATGCTGTAATCAACAATATTATGAGGCGTCTCTGGTACCCAGTTGGTTGGGATAGTGCCGGCACGGCTTCCAGGTGGTGTAGGGGTCTTAAGCTGTATATTGAGCTGTTGAAGGACCCGATCTGGTTGAAATGGCACTAATCCAGTCGCTGCGAAGCCATTTTTGATATTTTCTGATTTAAAGGCTTCCGTATGAGCTTTTGGGTATGCTTCGAGGAAATCTAGCTTGTCGATATGATTGATTCCAAGCAGCATATTATTTCCCATAAGGCGAACATATGCACGCTTTAGAACCGCAAAACAGCTAACATCGAGAGGCTGCAGGAGATGAGACGAGTGAGGAGGCATACAGATTGGTATAATATTATTCTGGGCACAGATGCGATCGAATTGAGGCGTTAGATGGCTGCGATGCCCATCAAGGACCAATAGTCGATATTTTACCCTTTGTCCGAGCATTTGTATGTGGGATGAAGTGATTTTGAAGCCATGATATACCAATCTCGTCTGTAGTCCACCCATTAGGACTTTTCTCAATTCTCCAGTCGTGTGGTAAGCCTGTCTCATACCAGGCCTGGAGATAAGTCTTCCCTTTGAAAATAATACACGGTGGTAGTACCCATCCTGCTGAATTGACTGATTCAATGACGGTCACCCATTCCTTGTTCCCAAGCTGTAGAAGAGGTGGACGACCAGATGTCTCTGCTCCAGTAACTACCCTTGCAGTAGCAATTAAGCCCATTGCAAAGCCTGTCTCATCAAATTTGTAGATATCCTCAATAAGGATTCCATATTGTTGAATAGTGCTTTGTACACAGTCAAACCATTCGCTGATAACCTTTGGATCCTCACATTTGGCATGCTGGTAGTTATATCGTCGCGAATATTGTGTTTTAAGCTCCTCATTGCAGTTGACAAAGGTAGAAACCCAGTTCTTGCCAACATGGAGTTAAGTATCTGCCGGACTGCGCTCAGAAAGCAAAAATATTGGCCATATCTCGTATAGCAGCTGGTCAAGGAGGCATTCCACGCCTATCCCGAGACAATATCCATTGTAGAAGCGTCTCATCCTCAGTAATTGTCAATTTATGCCGACCTGAATATGTCTCGATCTTTGCAGTGGTGCCAGAAAGCCGGTTATGTAAAGTAGTAAGAGGAACACCATATAGACGCGCTGCTGCGCGAATAGTTAGCGGTTTCTCGCGATTTTTTTATAGCAGAAATAGCCAATAGGATTCGACCTTCCTGCTGCACCAAATTTCTCGAATTTTGACGCGTTTTTGGTGGCATGGTGGCGCGTTGAAAAATTGATAGAGAGTATAGTTATTCGTGGGTGCGGACGGGTGTTCGGGTCAACCGGGTGTTCGGGTTAACCGGGAACTACGTTAGTGATTCTGTCGAGAGATTGTTGTTTAAAAGGAAGGAGTCGCAGGGAAAAATTATAAGACAGGAAGCTACATGTAGTTCCCTACTAGGTATGTACCTACCGGATAGATGCCTAAGGCACGACTAGGTGCCTCAGGCATGTTTGTTCCGGTATGCTTACGTAATTTATACAGGAAATGGTGACTAATCCGCAGCATTGCGCTTCCATGATAAGAGAGCAATCCATTACAAGAGATATACGAGATAGTAAAGAGAGTGACATAACTCAAAAGGGAAATCCATGGATTAATGCAACAGCTGATTCAGAGAATAAAATGTGCATTATACGGTGCATTATTCGAGAATAACATTAGCACAGTGGTGGACAGCCTGTCCATCGCGCTAAGCTAGATCCGGCAACAGCCCTGCTGGTCGGGACGGGCTACGTGTGAGTGGGCCGAGTGCTAAGAATAAACCTCCAGCTAATGAAGATGAGGGGCAGACATTCCCAGGGCTTAGGGCTGCGCGAACAGAGAATCGCATCGAATCGATCGGCCAGCAACCGGCCAATGGAGGACGCGCAGGAACCCTGGAACGCACCCAGCCAAAGTGTCCAATCAGGGACTCCGGAGTTGCGAAATAATGCCTCAGCCAGCACGCTGCCCCGCCTCGCCCAATCGGGGCCGGGCGAATGCCTGCATGCCGACGAGAGAGCAGCTGACAGGACGTTGTCACCTGGCATGAGGCATCCCTTGATTCCTCTGCTGTCAGGTGCTTCGACAACCGTCTCTGGGCACGACCAGGTACTGCGTATAAATCTCCCTGGGCGGTGATTCTCTCGTGCCTCTATAATATGCTATGCTCCGGCCCATGCAGGCATGTCCCGCCATATATGGCGTACCCACGCTGCCACAGACAAGCTTTCGTCCGTTCCCCTCCCCATGTCGATTAATTAAATTAATTAGGCCCCGTTCCGGCCTCCACTTGGATTACGCAGGTCCGTAAGGCTCAGGCCTCCGTCTCATACCTATGGTACCCTTCCCCATAGTCTCAGCCTGTACCTAGGTACGTACGTGTGCGTATTTATTCGTGGACTGCATACGTATGCCTTTTTTTTTTCTTCTCCAGTCCGATTTTCCGTGCCATACACCCTACTTACTTTCCCTGCAGAAATAATCATGACCACCGCGTCTACACCCATCCAAGGGAGGATCCTGTTATATGATATGTCGAATTTGAGCGTCGATTAAGAGGCAGTACTTTCAGCTTATCGAACCGGCTTATCTGAAACCCACTCCACTCCGTCGTGCCAGCATTATCCGAGCCATCCATCCATCATCGATCAACCACCACTTACCTATTTATCTGCTGGAATTTTTATTTTTTTTAAAAAAAAATTATTATCGTTGCTGTTATTCTTCTATCTTGCCTTGCCTCCGGCAAGCCAAGACTCTGAACACGACGCAACATGGCCGGCCTCAGCCCATCCGCCATCATCGTCATCGCCCTCGCCGTCTCCGCCCTGGCGGTGACCATTCTGGTCGCCTTCTCGCACTACCTGGGCAAACAGGACGAGAATCCCATGACTCGACCACGATCACGCGAGCAGGAGCTGTACATGCGGCAGGTACGGCAGCGAACGCACGAGTTCGCGTATGCCGAGTCCGTGAGCGGCATATCACCCTCTGGGAAAGGCATGGGGGCAGAAAGCAGCCGGAGCAGTGCCGTCGGTGGAGGAAGGGGATCGCAGTTATACAGCAGCAATAACAACAGCAGTGCGACGGGGAACTGGGGCAGGAGATCGAGACAGGGTCCCAACAACGGCTACGGCCACAATGGCAATGGCAATTACGGCTATGACGACTACAGCGGCGGCGGCAACTACGACTACAACTATAGTGAGCATTACGACTATAATTATGATGAAGGCGATGCCTACGCTGGGAACCATGGCGATGGGCATGGCAACGCGAATAGGTATGCGGGCGGATCCGTGCGGTAATCAATCCCTATCCCTACCTACCTCATACTCCTAATAAGCCGCTTGATTCGACTGAGACCGATTATTATGCATGGTACTAATAAGTGTCTTTTTCTGCCTTATGCAGACAGAATCAGGAGAAGCTAGCAACGTCGACGACCTAGGAAAAAGGCACGCGCAGCCCGGAATCGATGAATGAATTGAATGAATATATATACACGAGTGAATGAATTCTCCTATCTCCTATCGACTCTTCTCTGGATTTTTGGGCAGGGCGGGAGTTTGGGTCGTGTCTGTCTTTCGGTTTTATATAGGCCTATATATACGGCGGAAATGAATTCATGGTCCATACGAGCGATCTTGTATTGCAGTGCCTATTTGAGGTGCAATTTTCTCTAAAGGAATTTCTGCACTTTTGTCTCTTTCTTTTCGTTCGTTCTTGTCCGGTTTTTGGTTATTTTTTATTCCTGGTATCCGGGTATATCTGTTTGATTACATTTATACCCAATACAGTGTCATTCTTAGCCTTGCGGTACCCTGGTCGATACCTCCTCCGGCAGATTCGTCTTGTACGCGCGAAACACCAGATTGCTCGCATACGCGAATCCTATCTGCTACATTTCCGCCAGCTCGTCCTGTCACATGACAAGCTGGTGGTCGCTCGTGCGGCATGACAAACTCCCACGTCTCCTCGCTCTTTGGAGTCTCCGCAAACCAGTCCACCAGGGCTGCTGGTTGACGACCGACGAGGACACGTGCCACACCACCTCATCCTTCATCCTGCTGATGATGACAACGGACAAAAGTACTGCGCAACAACACAATGGCATCCCCTGATTTGGTAAACAAGACACTCTGATCAGCAATAGTGCTAGCTCACATAACAAGAGTGCAGCAGGAATTTCTCTCAATCCAAATGATCAATATTCAACAACACGCTACAACCAGAGAAGAGCTTCTCGGCTCCATTTGTGCCATACCATCACAGATCATATGTACCTGCATGCTGCGGTACAACAAACCTGCGGATCAGCCGCCGATGATCTCGATGCTAGACACCGCCGGTTGTGCAACCCAGCGCCATGCAGCTTTCCGTAACCAGAACTGTCAGTTGATAAGGATGCGATGACAGCAGCATGGAGCTGTTTATATATTATCAGTGCAAGCTGAGGCGAGTGGATATGTAATCTCAACTGCTTGATTTCTCAGCACTATCTATTGTCCAGAGAAAGGCGCAAGATTACTGGAGAAATACATAATATCACTGCTGTATTGGATGCAGTTTGTGATGTACAAGAACTTCTCAGAGGATCATTCAGCTACTCTCTACTGTGGATACAATACGCGCTCTTCGCAAATCAAAACAAGAGGAATCAAACCCGACAAGTCACTGAGAAAAAAAGGCAGCAGGACACGACCAGAATTATGCATCTGTGCACTTTCTTTGGATGAGTCTTACGCAATGTTTTGTAATTTATGGCTAGTATACACAGGCTGAGCACAACATAGCCGTGGTGACCCTCGATGTCGACAAAATGGGTCCTCTATGGGTCTGATGTTCTGGCATTGCTTTATTATCATCCTTGTGAATCTTGTTAGCCCCTGCTGCCAGCATGCTTAACAGGACTGCAGATGACTATATTCTCGTGAGGCACACGCATGCAGTTTTGACCTTCCAGACGCTACTCCCTCCGCTACTGTGAAACATTTTGTGTACTGTATAGGAAGCTTTTAAGTGTTTTCACAGCCAAATATTTCGACTAAACTAGACAAACCAAAGCAATAATCTTAAAACATTAAAAGAACGAGACTCCAGAGGCTATCCCAAGACAATGATTGGCAATACTTGACTATGCTGTGTCAGCAACATCTATGTCTGATATTAGAAAGGCAAACTCAATCAATTTAATTCCTTTCCGAATCGGGAGATAGCACCAGCGAATCGCGTTGATATCACAGGCTTCGACTTCTGCTATTATCAATATTAGTACTCTGGGAGATAGAAGCTCCCTAGGTAGCTAGGGACTATCACTATAGCCATTAATATGACGTGTTATTTAGAACTAGACATGGCGGAGCTGTGGAAACTACCAAGTAGTATCTTTCTCCCCACCCTGCAAGAGTGAACTAGAGTGAACTATGATTTCATCTTGTGTAACCTATCGTCCAGCAGAGTCAGTATTAATGGGCAGCTGAGACTTGCTAGATGAGATTGAGCATTGACACGTATGCAATTACCCTGCTCGTCGGGTAATCAGAGACATCTTTTTTTTTCTCAACGAAGCTCTCCTGTTGCGATATGCATAGTGACATGACCGTATGAACGATGCCTCAGGTTAGAAGGTAGACTACGTATTCAAGAAATTAGTCCAACTTTTTTCATTCAAATTATTCCTTAAGAAATTCTCAGAGATCGTGAAGCTTTGATAGCTATTTCCGGATGGAAAAGGATACATCCATGACGCCTTCTGTTTTCTACAGCTTGCATCACACTACTATGGCAAGTGCCACAGTGGTATCGTTTAGCTTGCATTAGTGGACAGGGAAGACAATCCGGTACAGATAGACCAGACAACGCTGAAATAACCCTTAATTGCCTGAATCTCCCAGATTTTCCAGGCTTCCATTGCTATCCAGAGGACAAGTAATCACACTCCAGTCATTAATCATGACTGACGACGCCCATGATCAACCCGTTGCAACTGCTCTGGAGGAGGTATATCTGGCAACCCGTCTTTTCTAACTCTCTGAGCACTGATGATGGATCTCCCAGGAAGTTGCAGATGACACGGATTCCGCAGTTGAGAGCTCGTGGGTGCTATACATCGCTGCTAGTCCATTGCTCACCACAGTGTCAGGCTGGGTAATCTCTGCGACAAGACCTCCCTTGCTTCGAGCGTAAAGAACTACGTGTGAGTCCGGTTCCATTTACACTATCTTTCAAAATCTCTTAGCTGATGATTTATCAAGGTACGAGGTTAGTAGAGATATACTGAATGTGTTAATTATCGAATAAAGGCGGATTTGAATCGTCTGGTAGAACGGTCGCCGATACCATGCCTACCACCAGGGGTAATATATACTGGTAAGCTACTGAACCTGGTGCAAGATACATGTAGACTTTTTCTATTTCTTACTGATTTCATCTGGAAAGCCAAATGATAAAGATGAGCAAGATCGACTGGACTTGGTAGGCCAACCAGTGTCACCCTTGTGGTTATTCATCTTATGGTTGTGGCTAATAATGCAGTCCTACCATATCTACAATCTCTGTCTCGGTGGTGAACTGCACCGCGCTCCGCTAAAAAATCCACAGAAGGTGTTGGATCTCGGAACGGGGACTGGCATTTGGGCGATTGATTTTGCAGAGTAAGAAAATTGATTTCGGTACATCTACATCTATATCTAGGACTGATAGCGTGGATAGTATGAATCCCCAGGCTGAGGTCATTGGTAAGTAAGCCATATATCTTCTTTCTCGGGCAATGTACTGATATTGAGCGTCCAGGAACTGATCTCAGCCCCATACAACCTGCATGACGATTTTACCCCTTCACCTCTTCCCGCGCCTTCTTTCTTTCCTTTTACGGCTGAGAGATAGTCTCTCACATGCCTATTGTTAGGGTGCCACCCAACTGCAGATTCGAGATCGACAACTTCGAGGAAGAATGGAACTTCTCCAGGCCATTCGACTTTATCCACGGCCGTGAATTGGAAGGGTCCATTCGCGACCACGATCGACTTTTCGCGCAATGCTTCAGGAACTTGTCACCTGAAGGATTTCTAGAAATGAAGTCTATGCAAGTGGAGTTTTCCTCCGACGATGGGACGCATACGAAGGCTGAACACTTTTCAAAGGTAGTCGACCTGCCATTTCTGATGATCATACGTGTCTGAAAGCTGACATCAAAGGTAGTCGATCTCATACACGAGGCTGCTAACAAATTCGGGAAAAGCATGGCTACTATCACAACGTGGAAGGAGAGGATGGAAAAAGCAGGTTTCAAAAATGTCAAGCAGGAGACATATAAGGTATGTCCCTATCGTAATTCAAAAAAAAATCCTGCTGAGTGCATATACGTAGCTGCCACATGGCTCCTGGCCAAAAGACCCCAAACCGAAAGAAATCGGTATTTACCACCAGCACAACACGCTAGATGCCATGGGACCTTATACGTATGCACTGCTGACGCGGTACCTGAACTGGAAAAGGGAGGAGGTGGAGGTTTTGCTGACTGGGGCGCGGAAGGAGATCAAGGATCCGTCGATTCATAGCTATTCGAACCTCTATGTTATTTATGGGCAAAAGCCGGAGGACTGATGAGGAGGACTTTTTTTTGGTCTTGCATGTAATTAACTAGAATTGCAGGTTCAGGTCATCTTGGTAGTTATCTGATTAGGATCTCTTGGCTGTGGTGGGTCCATCACATACAGAGTGCTCTGTACGGAGTACTGTTTTTGTAGGGGGTGAAATCATTTTTTGCTGAATCTGGATTGATTAGTTGCTTTTTAAATGATTCCTAGCTTCTTAAAGTACTTCTTAAATAGTTGACTTTTTTTTTTTCAACTCCTTTCCTCATCAACTTATTCTTTACAAGCAGCACCCTCACGTGACATCACCTGATAGACCCACCGCCAAGACCCGCTAATCCCTCAGACGAACGGGAGTCTCCGTCCCCGGACCGCATCCGTACTTCGATTGCACATGCTTCGTAATCGATCTTTTCTTCTTCTGTTCTGCCTGGACTACGCCAGGACTTGCGCCAAAGGTTGGCACAGTTGCCTCACTCTCTCCCTATTAAGAGCGTGGCGTTTCCATCTTTCACTTTTTTTTTCGCCTTTTTCTCGTGCTGAGAGAGCACCAACGTCGTTCGTTCCTACGACCGGGGCTCGATACATGCTTATTTGCTCAGATACGTCTGGGCCAATCACCTGTTAAATAAATAGGTACATTATTCCGTGAACTCTTTCAGTTAGTGATTCCCGTTCATTTATCTTGACAATATTGAACGTTCGACTGACGACCCATTCAGAACAGCGCAAACCAGCTAGATACAGCCACCTAGTCAAGATGAAAGCCCCTCTTCTCTACCTCCTCACCAGCCTGGGCCTAGTCGCCGCGCAAACCAACTGCCCTGGCACAGGTTACTTCTGCGGCCGCGACCTCCGCCTCCGCTACAACATCATCTACTGGTGCGAGGACCAGGCCACGAACCCGCACGTGGTGGCAGACAACTGCTGGGAGAGATGCATTCCCAGTCCGGATCCGTTCCAGATGCCCGAGTGCGTTGTTGCGCCGCCGCCGGCTCCTGAGCCCGCGCCTGAGCCTGTTCCTGCTCCTGAACCTGTGCCGAATCCGGATCCGTTAATTGCCCTGGGTAACGATGTGGAGGGGCAAGCTCCTCCGTACGATGGACAGGAGCCTGCGTAATAGACGTGCGAGGAAAATATATTGACAGGAAGAGGTTTGCACCTGCATTGTATATATCGTTTGCTGGGTTCAAGGTTGATAAGCTAGCTGTTTGATATTCGGAAACCTGCACATTTGTATATTTATCTTGTTGTATGTATGTACATTACTACTATTTCGGTTCTTTTGTCATTTCTTGGTTGTGATTTTCAATTCTGCCGTTAAGGTCCTGATATCAACCTACATGCGCATACTTGGTTTGGTGTTTCGTCTTGCTGTCATTATTTATTCCTGCCATATTCTGGCACATTCTGGTGTTGCTGTCGCTGTCATGCATATATATATTCATTTTCTCCTGCTCAAATAGAGCAATGTCCTGTGACAGGTCTCTCGCTCGATGATGACAAGCAGCAGCAGGCTACTTTCGAAGTGAATTACCCTGGCAAATCTTTCGCGGAGTAATCTGACTTCTTCGCAAGGATTGTACCTGCAGTCTCTTTCCCGATAGTAATACAATCCTTCGCGCCGATATTTACCGCATGCGGCCAACAAGTCGTATAAAGATAAAGACGTTGCACCGTCATCACGGCAAAAACACAGCAGCAGCAGGAACGCCGAGTCGTATTGTATCGCGTCAGGTCATCATGACTCATAGATTCTATAATTCTGCAACTCTGCCTAGCATAGCATAGGCAGGCATACGTGGAAGCAAAGGAGCTGAACAAGAGCCAGCAGAACCGCGTATCCGGAGTACGTCAGCAGGAGAATAAACCTGTCGTCTAATATATCTTCAGAGTTGGTGTTACACGAGGTTTCGTTATTAAAAGGGTGAATCGGTGAAGATGGGAGCGAGGCTGACACGGAGGCTGAACTTGAGGAGAAATAGCCGCCGTATGTATGTACAGTACTGCAAGGTGGTAGTTTTTTTTTTGGCATTCGATCGTGGCTCAAGAACTAAAAATCCTTCTAACTAGAAGATTCGTCGTTGTTGAATATACTCGTGCTGATAGGCGGTGTGGTGTACTATTCGGAGAAAAGGAATAAAGTTATTTCATGTGAATGATTGTTTGATTGATTGTTGTATCCATGCGCCGATGAAACAGAACCTACCTAATCTTCCTATCTTCCTGTCTAATGATATTAGCCATTGAACCAATCACACTCCATGTCGTTATTTTGTGGCGACGGGATATTCCATCGCTATTGGTAAGTCTGCCCTCGTTAGGCGCTGTCTTTTCCTCAGATTGTATGTCCCTACACTAAGTGCCTACCGATAATAGAAAAAATGCAAAAGTTAGTTCTAAAAATATGCTACTATGCTAGCCGCGTGTCAAACTTGAAACATAGCGTAGCGCGCTTGCTGATGCTGACCCCTCGCCAACAACACACAGACAGCGTATGCGGTATCGTATTGTACCGGACATATACCTACCTATGCTCGTCCCGTATTGGCGTCTATCCAGCTAGCTGCCATTGATGGATCATGGATGGCTTCGCCTCTGCAGCCAACACGCCCCCACGCGCATTAGCCGAAGTGAATGACACCGGTTACTAACTTACTACTACTGTAGTCCAGGACGTGGCAGCGCAAGGCATTTCTGCAGGTGCCTTGCCATGCACGACAGCCTTGACCACTAACTAAGTAACGCATGCATGCAGGATGCTCTGCATGCAGTATACTGGCTAGCACGTCCTGACTGCCGAACGGATCATGCTAATAGTAAAATAGTAAAATAGTATATATTAGGTAGTATGCAACCGACTCATCCTGCAGAGATCTCATCTCTGCCGATTCCAATCTCTAACTCAACCTTTAGCGAAACTTGCGATAGCTTCGCAACTCTTCTTCCCTCCTCTGTCCTCCTGATTCCGTGGTGTCCCTGGGGATGGCGCCTACAATTAGTCTGAGGGGGGTAGCAAGTTAAAAAATTTGCAAAGCTGCTGCAAACAGACATGACACACCTCCAAGGGAACCAGATCGGTCTGGTTGTCGCGTATATTCTCCTCAACCTGGTCAGCGTTGCGGTCACGGGTCTCCGTTTTTATGCCGTTTCTATTGCCCGTCGACGGGATGCGGTTCATGGGATTTTGTGTGTGATTGCGCTGGTAGCGCTGATCGGATACAGTATTGACACTCTGATCGGTACGTACGACAAGACGATATCGTCAGTGAAACCAGCTGATAGATGAAGGGACTGTCCATGGTGGCATTGGGCTTCGCCTCGATCAAGTCAGCGAGTCGCAGCGGGCGATCGCACTAAAGGTTAGTTGTAGCTAGAGAACTGTCCTGAGGACTGGTTGCTCATACATTAATTACTGCAGACATTTTTCATCTCCCAGTTCTTCTGGCCCATCTCCGTCACAAGCTACCGACTAGCCATCCTCCACATCCACGTGCAAATGTTCCCCTCCACGGCCTTCTGCCGCGTCTCGTTGCTGTGCGCCATGGTCGTCGTCTTCTTCTTCGTCGCCAGCGTCGCCACCGCGGCGAGTATCTGCTGGCCCGCCCGGTTTACGTGGGACAAGACCATCCACGGGGTCTGCGCCAACCAGGATGCGGCTGGACTGGCGGCCGTCTCGTTGAACACGGTGCTGGATGTGCTTGTTGTGTTACTACCATTGCCATGGGCCTGGTGTCCGGAGATGACTGCGCAGGAGAAGATTCATGTGACGGTTAGTTTTGCGCTTGTGGTGAGGTAGGCCTGCTGCTGCCCTTTTCTTTTCTTTTCTTTTCTTTTCCTTTTTTTTAACTCTATTTGCTGAATATAACGGCTGCTAGCATCTTCGGCGTCGATTTATCCCGCGTTATCAAACTTCTAAACTGCCGCGTCGATCACGATTTCACCCTCTGCGTATTGGAAGAATTGATCCTCACCGGATCAGAGATGGCCATCGGCATCGTTATCGCCTGCCTCCCTACGCTGGGACCCATCTTCTGTCGCGAGTATTGGTCTGCAGACCCTCCTTCGTACGAGCTCGAGAGTGGTCGCCGTCGCAGCAGCAGCAACATCAAGCCGGGCCTCAGACAGCATCAACATCCTCTGCGAGGGTCCAGCACGATATACAACTCAAACAACAACCATTTTCCGATCATGACGAGTCATCCTAGCCGACCTGCTGATAGACATGGACATGGACATAGACATGGTCAACGTCATCATCATCATCATCGA